TCGACGCGTAACGCCGATTCCCGAAAAGCGGATTACAAAATAAAATAGTATTCCGCGGAAGACGAGGTTCCGGGAAAGAGGTGAGAGTCGGCACACACACACACACACACACACACACATACACACACATTAGCATGAAACGTTCTCGGGTCCGACCCTCGCATAAATCGCGCGTATCAGACGGAACGGAAGAGCGGAATCGTCGCTTCGACGGCAGCTTCTTCTTCGCGCTTCGCTCTCGGAGCAAGGAGGCGCGCGTGAACGCGCCGTCGCTGCGCCCCCCTCCCTCCCGCCATAGCGTATTTATATCTTCAGCGCGGAGAATGACAAGTTTCTCTAAAAAACACCCGAGACCGGGCTTCACGTGAATTCCGCGGCGTGCTCGAGCACATACACGGCTCACACGCCAGCCGAGAGGAAAAAAAAGAGACTAGGGGGTAGCACTATTCAGTATATTCGAAACTTTGATATAATTCGATATTTGACGACGAAGTTCGAAGATTCGAAGTCGAATTATCTCGAAGTCTCGAGCTCTATTCGAAAATATGAAGCTGTTGATGGAACTAATTTTGGAGAGTGCAACAAAATGCTGTGCAATTAGAAAATGACAAAATCCGTATAATATTAAGACGTCTTAAGGCGTCGTATTAAGACGTCTTAAGACCACATTTTAGAAAATAAAGCCTCGTCTACTACTGTACGGTTGCAGAAGAGTCGTAGACAAGATTCACTTGAAGCTGCAAACACTTTGGAGCACTTAAAGAAAGAATATGACTGGTCTCTACACAGTGCTTCGAAGCATTTGCAGCGTGAAGTGGATATCTATCGATGACTCTCCTAAGACCGCATTGTAGACGAAAGACTTAAGACTTCCAAAGGACGTCTTTGAGACGTTTTTACGTCTTACGCGTTGCGGTATCTTTAGTCCGATTGTGAGATTTGTGTAATATAGTTTAAAATAAAATGAATTAAGAAAATACAAATAACGAACAGCAAATCTCATTAACTTTACTTCAAGATAAATGCAAATTTTGCCGTGATACGTAACAACACGACGCGATACACGAAAAAATTATATTCCTTAGGACGGTAAATATTTATTTACTATGCCTACAAAACGAATACATGTACTTTCCAGTTCTTGAAGTTTTGAATGTTCGAATTTTCACACTTCAAAATTTCATTGTTCGAATATAACGTGTCGAAGGTTCAGAAATTCGAAGCTTCGAATATAATTTATGGCCCTAGTACAGGCGACAGACCGTCAGCTCCAAGAGCTGGTGATTCCCCGGCGATCGGAAAATATCCATTACAGATCGCCGATTATCGTACAGCCGCCGAGACTACTCTGCACTTTTCTTGAAATAAAGCTTTAATTATCGAAATCGGCTGATTACACCTCGAGAAGGCGATTATCATTATCAACATCATCATCATCGTCATCATCCGATCGCGCGCGATTCTCTGAAAAGCGACGACGCGCCGTCGACGCGATGCTTGTTATTAAACCGTTACTCCGTAATCCTGAGAATCATCGTTGTAAATAGTGGAGTCTCCGACCGGCCACAGTCGGCGAATCTCCGATATTTATTGCAATAGAGCGATACCGAGTAACGACACCTATTCTGCTCGTCCATCCGCCCGGACGTCCGGATGTCCAAGAACGCACAAAGAGAGAATCGTACGATATCTAAGCGCGATAACTAGGAAATTCGCTTAAATATAATACTTTATCTTATCACGTGGAACAACGCATGGTGTACACGTATCGTACAACTGAGTATGACATAACCGATCCGTGACAGAATCGGCAGCATTACGCAAGTACGAGAGCAAAGATTTCACAGCACATCTGCATCGCCTGGCGTCGCTCGACGCGAGGCGCCTCGCATCGTCGTCGCCACGGCGCTCCGTGTACTTGCATTGCCAAGAGAGAGAGAGAGAGAGAGAGAGAAGGAGAAAGAACATGATCCACATTCTCGCGGCGTGTTTAGTGCAAAACGCGACCCCATCGGATCGCCGTGCCGCGTTCCGCGATCCGCGACGGCGGTTGAATACTAACGAACAGCACAAAATCACGAGATTCGTTCTTCGGTCCATCCGCCAGGACGGTCCTCGTGACGAGGAACCGACGGAATTCTAAAACGGGCTCCGTCGGGCAGCCGACGGTTGTACTCTGCATCTCGTCGTCCCAGAGAGACGCGAAAAGGAGCCTCGAAAGAGCCATATCTCACTCGTTCGCTCGTTCATTCTATGCGCTCGTGAGAGCGACGGTTGTTCCTTTTCGACGTTCAAAACACACCTCGCGATTTTACGAGCGGGACGTCACATCTTGTTTCCCGGCGAAGGTCGCCGCGGCGCGACCTGGCTCTACGAACGCGGGGAAGAAAGGAGAGAAAAAGGAAGGAACGAGCGAACGAAAGTACATATGACGCGTTGCGTCTCGTTTCGGCAAATTTAAATACCGTATTTCCCCNTATTCCCCCCCCCCCCTCCCTTTCTCAGTTTTACGCTTGTCGAGATCCGTCTCTTAGATACGCGCGCGTGCTTAGATATCACGATTAATCCCGGCAATTCACGACGAACGCGCGACTCTCCTACTCTTCTTTTTATTGCGGCCGACACGTCGCACTTAGCCTTCGATTTAAATCGTGAGATTTACATGTTGATTATCGCCGATGCCTCTCGTGAAAATGCATAAGCCCCCGGGTGGGGGAGGGGAGGGGGAAATTGGAGTTCGGATGGAACGCGCTTTTCTCATTTGGAGGATTACACTTTCGCGAGAGATAAATCCACAGCCGGCCGGGAAAATAACTTGGCTCGCATAGAAAATATACGCTTTCTACAACGTTATTAAATGCGCTCTCTGTGCGCCGGCTTAATTTCCGAGATTTCTAGAAATCGATGCCATCAGATGGTATCGCTTGAAAACAGGTTCTGAAAAAAGCGCATCCCTCCCAATCGAACATCTTCATCGAAATACTTTCGGAGCCGTTTTAGATAGTGAAACGAAGAAGAAGCAAAGAATTGGGGTGACGTGCTAACGATGCGTCGCAATTTCCCATGTCTTTGGAAACTTTTTGCTCAATTATCAAATCTACGAGGTTTCTTACGAGGACAATGAGATTAGATATCGAAGCGCGATCTGTAACGTTTCCGGCGGGAGGGAACAGATAAACACGTCGCGAACATTTCTATAGATTTGTACCTTTCAGTAGCGCCTGCGTAATATCATCTGCATTTAGATGGGAAAAATGTGCGTCAAATACTCGGAACGAGGAAATAGCGGAGGGAAATTCTCATTCTCCGCCGAGAGAATGTGGAACGCATCTGGAAGGAAGAACCGACTCGATAATTACTGAGGGTCAATCTCTTGTCTTTCGTCGTCAGCAGGAGGAAGTGGAAGAAATAGAACGGAAGAAAGGGAACAAAAGAAGTATTATAAAATTTAATAAACCAACTGCCCATTGTAAGAAGGAAAAAAGGGGCGATGATCTGTTCTTTTTCCTTGTTCTTGTCCAGGCGGAACAAATTTCGAAAAGATGCCTTAAAGATGTCTAAGAGGAGTTCTACGCTTCTTTTTAGATACTTCGTAGATCTCTTTAAGGTCTCTTAGAAATTTGATCTACTTAGGTTGTCAGTAACGGTCAGGTATAGGAAGGCAACTGACAGCAAGGGGCTTTTCCCGGTAGCCAACACGTCAAACGAGAAAAGGGCAGAAGAAGAAGTATGATCATAAAAGGCGAATCTTCCCTTTTCTTTTTACCTAAATGCCGTCGTCGACGGTATTTGTCTTCCTTAGTTTCAGATTTGAGACTTACAGGGGTGCGACAGCAACGGCATGACATCGAGCCCGCAGGGGTTTTACGAGCGACAAACATGCGGCCGCGTAGCGGCTCGAAAGGCACCTATGATTTCGATTTACAAGAGAGAAGCGAAGAGAGAGAGAGAGAAAGAGCCAACAGACTTGATACGAGAAACAAGCAAATGGACGGACGGGCGTATACACGCAAATTAGCGTGCACACGCGACCAGTAAAAGGACACCCCCACGCACACGCGTAATAAGACACCCTCGCGCGACGCACGAGATGACACTCGCAAGGTCTCGTTTTTCACAGATAACGCACTTCCCAAATTATCCCATAATCTCTCCGTTTCCCTTCCTCCTTCTCCTCCTTCTCTCTTTCTCATTTACCGAAATGTCAGATATGATCGAATACTGGTGTCGGGAATTGTATCTTACAGATCTTTGAAACCACATAACGAAAGGAGAGAAAAGAGAAAGAGGGAAAGAGAGAGACAAGTGTCAAACATATACCTGCTTCGTTTCAAGTACGGACGGAGTGGAACTCGGCGCATCTACAAAGAACAGACCCGTAATGTGTACTCGCGTGCGATCCGCCACACAGAAGCACACACACACGCACACGTGTGCGCGCGAGCCCGCATGCAGCACCCGCGCGAGCTGCACCAACATCTTTATATGTCGATAGAGCGCACTGCAAGGCGGGAACGCTAATCCTAAACGCGTGACGTACGTACACACACACATACACACGTACCAGAAGGACAAGTATACCCGTAGCGTTCAGCCACGGGTGCGCGCGCGCGTGTCGGAGCGAAACAATGTACACGAGCATCAATAGGAAAGCCGAGAGACATGTAAAGCGTACTCCGTACGGTGCAGGGGGAGGAATGTACGCGCTCGTTCCGAAAAATCAGTAATGATCACACGAGTAAGCCGAGGACGGCGGTGCGGAGCGGGGCCGAAGGGGCGAAAAGGGAACAGCGATAATATGTGTCCGGTAGCGCGCTCGCTTTGCTCACATTCTCCGCTTCTCGCCTTTTATCTCCCTTTTCTTCTCTCGCCCGCGCTGCCGCTCCTTTCCTCTCCCCTCGACTAGCCCCTCGCGTTCGGCCTTTTAAAACGCGGCAAAGGCGCAGAAGACGGAACGGGACGCGTAAGAGAGGAGATGCAAAGATGGAAGTTTAACTCACCCTCGTAACAGCTCCGTCGACGAGTCCGCCTGTCGAATTCCTCATCCCAATGGAGCGGACGTCAAGAGTCGTCGTTCCCGCAGGCGGTTCCGAATACTCGTCGTCGTGGATATCGGGGAAATCCTAGGCGACCGTGAGAATTACGGATACACAAGGAGGGAAGGCGGACGGGAAGCGAGCGGAGGGAGAGAGAAAGACGGATCGAGAGAGGGTGGGTGGGAGAGAGAGAGAGATCTTACGCGAGTGCACGCAACGGGTCCGAGCTCAGAGCCGCGGCCGACGACGATCCCTGCCGTCGCTGCTGTTCGTCTCACACTCCTCGGTGTCCACTCACACGCGCACACTCCGCCGACGACCCGGGTCGGAGGTAAATCTATGCGCGTCTCGCGACGATCCACCGCGCTCACATGCGAACATAATCACGTTGCCCGTAAACCGCGTTCGGCCGTGTCACTTCATAACCGAGCGAGAGAGAGAATTCTGTTTACATTCGAGCGGAGCCGTCCATGGTGCTCATGGTTCTACGTGATACGCGCATTCTGGGTAAAATACGCACGTATGCGCGATCAATCGCCAGTGGTGCCAATCTGAGAAATCGCCGCGGCGCTGGGCGAACGACGGAAGATGGCGCCGACGCTCCGTCAGGAGATCGTAAACTGATCGACGATATATTTATCACGCGACACGCATCTCGGTTCCATCGTCTTGTTGTCCTCCCCGTTTCATCTTGCGACGTGCGTTGGGCTCTCTCACCGCGTACGTGATCCTCCGCGAGTCATCGAACGCGCAGGACGAACCGGAGGGAGAAAGATAGAGACGGCGCGCGAATCCCTTCGCTCGGAGTTACGTGTTATCGCAAGCACGCCGATCGGCGACTGACGTCAAGTCGATACGTCAAGCGCTGCGTTCTCAGAAATGGAGTCGCAGCTTGCTGCGTGAGCCGCCAGGGGGCGTTCGCTGCGGCGTCATTTTCGAAATCTAATTTCGAGCGGCGGCGAGGGAATTGTCGCCGAAACAATTTCCTCGGTGTCAAACGTATCTCGATTTCTCTCTCTCTCTCTCGAACATGAGCGGAAGTCTCTGGTAATCCGTACGTTGTACTTTCGCGATTATCCCTTCGATGAATAAAAATATCCCGTTCATTTTTCTTCATATTCGTTCGTTGTTTTCGTCCTGTGAATATTTTTTTCACGTTAATCACTAGGATACGATCTCGTATCTGTTCCGCGTATTCGCTTCAGACTCCATGTTCAGAATCGCCATAGAAAAGGAATTTTGAAATTCCCGGACTGATATTACATATTTATTATATTAAATTATGAAAATGTTCTTAGAATATTAAAAAAAATGAATAAAAGAATAATAATATAGAAAAGTATATATAAATAAAATATGTATATATATATACATATATGTATAATGTTTTAGTATAAAACATATTTTTACATAAAATTACACCCTTAAGAGCATGTGTTTACATCAATTAATAATAATCAACGTAATTTCACACAGCCTCAATTTAAAAGCTTGATTATCGTAATCCGTAATTATTTTCAATTTGAAATTTTTCAAGTTGACACAAAATACGAAATTGATGTATATATTCAATGGTTTTCGAGCAAAATTAAAATTAAATATTGTAAATTCACTTACTCCTCTGTTTCATCCAGAATGACAGCACGAATAGCACTAAACCTTAGAACATGTAGATATGGAAGGGGAATACTAGCACCGAAAGTGTGCTGTGTGAGGTTCGAGTAGACACCCTGATCCAGCTGTCCAATCGATCGTGCCGGATGCTTAATTACGTGTTCACGCGCGGAAACCACAAGATGAGAATCAACGCCTCTTTTCCTTATACGCTCTGTCTCTCTTTTAATGTAGCATTTATTATCTCAGTATATTTTTCAACAACAATATATAATAATGGTAGTACATTATATTCTTAGCAACAATATCAGTTTCTCTCTCTGGCTTTATCTCGGATCATTCAACGATGATTACTCAGAGTGTAACGGACACGTATATAGAATTCGGCTTATATCGGTGTGTTACAATAAATATACGAAGCTCATAATACAAAAAGAGAGTCACCGTCGGATCCAATCGAATCAGTGAAATCATCAGTCGAGAACGGTAAATCAGTTAACTTTGCCGTATACGCGCAGCGCATGAAATCCAACGTGCGTAATCGGCCGTTATTTCTTTACTACTCGAGACGCGATGCAAGATGTGTGTTCGCGGAAGAAAAGCGCGAAAACGCGACTCCCCGCGTTCCTTTTTTCTTTTTCTCTTCCTCCCGAGCGCGCTAACGCTAAGTCGTTTGCTGCGCTGTCGCTCCGAGAAGCTGCCTGAGTCGTGTGTGTATATAGCTTTAAGAAAACGAAGGATGCAATATGTACCGTGTAGCTGGAAGGGGGGGGGGCTTTGGCAAGAGAGCGGGCAAAACGAGTAGTAAAGAGGACTCGGATTACTCGGCGAGTGAACTTCGAGTCGATAAAATCGCGGCTGACGTTACATTATTGCCTCTTATATTAACCTTACAAATTATCAACATTATCCTTTCAAAAAACAAGTATATATACATTTATACCAAACTTATATCCTACACAATTTACAAATTCTGTATATATATATATGTATATGTATGTATATATATATATATATAATTATAAAAAATAAACGCGATGATTATAAAATGGGTATTGTGTGATTTCCAGTTAAATGCGTTTGCTGCTGCTTATCACTCATGCGTTCGTTTAGAACGTACGACGAACAAACGATTCGCTCTCGCGCGTCTCTACACACACACACACACACACATATACACACACATATACGCACACCATGTGTATAATATGACGCCGCGTTTTTTTTTCCTCTCCTTTCTTACTTCAATTCTGAGATCTAAAAAATACAATCTGGTTTTATCTTCCCCTTTTTTTTTGTCGCTTGTGTTTCCCTTATACTAGTACGACGCGCGCCGAACAACGTCCCCATCGTTTTATTATCTTACTATATTTTACAAGTAAAAAAATATATATATACGCTATTCTTTCAAACGTGTAACGTTCATAAATATCGAAAAAAAAGACACCGGAAGAGTGAATAAAAAAAAAATTTCTGTCTAATTCGTTATTCCTCCAGTCTGGATTTCCGCTCGCTCATCGTCCACCTTTCCTGTCAAATATAGAAACATCACCTTACAATCGCGGGCAAACGAACAACTGTCGCCCCCGTGTATGTGTGAGGTCGGTTAAGTAATTATTACAATAATAAACTCTTTCGTAATTATCTCTTTCACCACTCAAAAAACAAAGCGGCTGATAAGTGCATCTGCTTCTTTGGTTGCGTGAGTCCTTAGTTACTTTAATTAATGACAATACATATACATCTTGTATTAATTGGGAATAAATATATTCAGAGAGAAATAAAGGAGGAATCAGACATCGATAGAATCTCCGAGTGTTCGCAATAAGTCCAGAGTATAGAATCGTTATGGTTAATTAATTATTTTAAACAAGTTGCTAGTTCTCTCAGATCTCTTTGCCGCGATATCGAAAAGCGTAACTATTTTCATCGTCAAGGCCACAATCATGTTGCTGTTTAGAAAAAGAAGAGAAACGTTCACGAAGGTAGTGGTGTTCCACGATAGAAGCCTAAGATTTCGAAGAGCCTACGCCTTTTGATAAACGTTATCGAGAAGTGCCGACGAATAATATAAATTCGATAATTACACAAATTGCCAGTCTACAATATCACTTCACAGCGTATGTGAATATACAGCTGCGCCTGTGGTCTCTCTCCACGCGATAAAACGCATCGAGCTGCGAGATTCTTCATTGCGTATCAATGCTATTTGCTGTCAGCAATATAACACAGTTACTTGTCACTCCACGCCGCTGACGCTTTTTTTTCCCTTTTCTTTTTTTTTTACATTATTTTTAGTGTGTCGCTTTACGCTAGTTTACGAGTCATGTATAAGATTTACAATCGTTCGCGTTTACATAAATTAACGACCTGTTTTTCTCGCAAGTACTACAAACAGTCTAACGCTTAAAGTATCGCTATATCGTGTATAAATGCGCCAAGGATCACTCTTTCTCCGTCAAGAAATCGATTTCGATCTTATGAAATACACGTCACAACTTATGTTTCATTATATACGTGTGTATATACCCATTCGAGAAATACAAAGAACCCTCCTCGCTGAAAGCGCTCGCTACAAGTATCTGTTTTTGGATGAACAGCAGTTCAGTGAAATGGAAAATCGAACTTTCTGACGTTTTTTGGGGGGCACACCCCTCTCGGGTAATTTCGATAAATGCCTGCGCGGGGTGCCCTCATCGTTCGGTCGAATACTTATTTGGCTGATCGTGAGATTACTCTACAACGAATTTCAATGATGGTTTTACAATCACTCTCCGAAGGCTGCGACATTTTTATTTAGTAATTTCGTTATTATTGCATATATGGAACACGCGCAACAAGGCACAATACTTTCAAAAGCTATCACACGTGTTATAGGATAAATTACGTTTAACTCTGCGATTAGATCGATAATAAGAGGGAGGGAGAAAACTAAGGGAAAAACTATAGGTTAGCACCAGCCTAATTATTTTCCTTCATTTTTTTTTGTTAGAATGAGCAAGTACGATTGTTCCTATGTATTAAAGAAACTTTCGCAAGCTGCACAATGAATAGCTGCGTTAGAAGTAAGGATGTCATCTGTGTGTGTGTCCCCTCTGCAATACTCGCTCTTCGATCAGAGAACGTCTATACTCGCGACTGTTTACGTACGAGCGACACGAGCACAATATAATTGCGATAAAACTTGTCATTATCACTGGGCTATCGGTAAATAGCTTTATCTTTACAAGTGGATCACTTTTTTTGGTGTTATCGAATTGAATTCAGTGCTTTATCTAAACGCGAAGGCAAGTACAAATATATATTCACCGGTGGTGAGTTTATATAAATTTGCGATACGTTGCGCGATTCAAATCGTCCACAGCAAATCGTCGCCGAAACGTATCGCGCAACTAGTGCTAGCTGCGAAAATCAATTGTTTATGTGTACAATTTTCACAAATAACGTATACTACAATTTATTCTTCTACCGGGTAAAAGACTGCGTAAGAGACTTATTAGATATATATATAATACAATATAACACATTCTCTTCTCTCGTTATCAAACATCAAAGATCAATTCCCGCCGTAGTGTCAGCACAGCAACGTAAAAGTCTTTCTGAGATTCTTTCCTCTCTTTTTTTTTTTCCTTTCGTATTGTCTTTCGCTATCTCTTCTTTTCACTTAGCGCAGTACCTAATGCTTTTGTTTACCCTGAAGCTCTGTCTTTCAGATCATCAAAGAGACTCTATACAAGTGCTGGTGTTAGAATTAGTATTCGTCAAAAAGGGACAGTGGAAGTGTCGTTAATTTAAGATTAATATGTTATTATCAAAAAGGTTAATTCTATATGTTCATATCGTAGAGATGTGGAGGAGCACCTACCACTGAAGGCATTTGGCAGCCACGTCGTACTAACAGACGAACAGATGGTCCACCGTTACGTATAATCTCAATCGCTTCTGTATGCGTCATGTTTTTGGTGTTGATACCGTTTATTTCGATTATCTGATCTCCAACCTGAAAATGACGATCATAACCGCGTGTAATGTGCGATAGCGATAATCTCGAACGACGACATCCGTTACAAGTGTATCTGCGTTTAATTTCCCTCTTATCGAAATTCTACTCACTCTGAGACGGTTATCGATGGACGCCGGGCCGTTCTCGGCAATTTGCAGGACGAACAACGGCATGTTTTGGAACTCGCGACCACCGCGAATGCTGAAGCCGAAACCTCGGGTGCCCCGAGTTAGCTCTACAGCATGGTACTGACCACCATCTCCATCTCCTGTCGGCTCATCCTGGCAGGAAGAGATCAAGGTCATAGGACAACCGCCATAGCAGATCAACGAGGTGAGAAACTCTCTTCTTTATGCGCGCGAGACGTACCTTTTGGGAAAGAGACGTGTTGCTGCAGCAATCGTCGAGCGGATACCCGATCGTCAATGTGACGGAATAACCAGAGTCTTTGATTAAGTTGACTATGTCCTTATGGCATACATTCGTGATGTCAATGTGATTGACAGCGAGAATGTGGTCCCCGACGTTCAGTCTGCCGCACCTCTCGGCGGGCGAGCCTTCGATTATCCTGCCGATCGTGGAGCCGGCCTTGTTGACCGACGAGATTATCACGAAGCCGAATCCTTCGCTCTCCATTCGCGTGACGGTTACGTCGTACGGATATTGCAGATTCATCTGCCGGCTGTAAGAGGACTGCAGATTCTCCTGGAGGTGCTCCTGCGTGTTGATACGACGCCGTATTCCCAGAGTCACCCGGCCGTTTTGAGCCGCCGCGATCATCAGCTGCACTACGTGATGATGGGAAGAGTTCATAACGCTCTCTCCGTCGACGGACATTATCAGATCGCCGGTGTTCAGCCTGTTGTCGAGGTCGGCCGCTCCACCCGGCACGATGTGACCCACTGAGACCTGCTGACCACGATATTATTAACGTTTTTGTTTTCGTCGACTTCGCCCGATCAGGCTCGTTTTACAATACGTCGCATGTCATCGGAGATGGACATGGAGACCAACCTGAGACCCTTCCTCTGTGCCACCCACTATTCTGAACCCAAAGCCGGTGTCTTGTCTAACTAAAGTCACCAGGGTTTCTATCCATTCTATGTCGGGCACCATTGGACAGACCAATTCGTTCGTGTACTGCGGATACCTTGAATCGATACCGACGAATTAAACGAGACGCCGCTTACAACTTTCTCGGATACATCTAATCTATTCGACGACGGTTCTAATTTAACAAATCTTAAATACTTTTCTGAGAAAAGTGAAAAATGTTAACACGAATTGACGGAAATTCCTTCCGTATCATGGGGAATCGAGGGGGAAACGAGGGGCGTACCGAGGTATGGAACTGGAATGTGGCTGCTCGTGCTCGAAACTGGTGGTCTCCTTTCGCTTGTCCCAGATTTCACCAGTGTCGACGTTCTGCTCCTGCCCGATGGAGTACGCGTTGTAGTCCTCGTTGTATTGGGAATGCGACTGCACCGCGTAGAGATCCTTGTAGTAGTCGGAGTGCAAGCACCCGCCGTTCTGCTTGAGCATATTGTCGTGGTGGGAGATGTCGATGGAATACATGTCATTGTTGATGTTGAGCTTGTCGCTCGTCGACCAGTCCCGCTTTGGCACGTTCCTGACGGACTCGTCGTCCAGGTTCATCATCGGCGCGAAATTGTCCGACAGATTCGTAATGTTGGCCTTGTACGGGTCCGAGTAATACATCCCGTGTGAATATTCGGAGTACTTGTAGTGGCTGTCCAGCGGATTCAGCTCGTTCTCGCTCTGCACCTCGTTCCAGTTCGTCCTGCTGCCGCTGGTCGGCGATTTCGGACGATTTCGAGTGTCGATCAGCGGCGTTTTCGGCCGGCTGGGTATTACGGTCTTCGACTGGGTACTGTAGATATCCGCGGTGGGCGTTTTGCTCCTGAAGAAGTCCTGCGTGTTCTTCTCCTTCTTCTCCTTCGACTTCGTCGTCGTGCGCTGGACGTGTATCAGCGCCTCCTCGGTGCGCGGACAGTCCTTCAATACTTGCACCACCTCCGAGTGGCACATGTTCCTCACGTTGATGTCGTTTATGTTGACCAGAATGTCGCCCTCCATCAGGTTCTTGCAACGCTGACGATCCAGAATCTTCTTCACCTTCTGACCGTGAGCGGAGTCCGCTATGGTGAACCCGAATCCCATCGCGCCCTTCACGATGGCGATGCTGAGGAACTCCGGCTTGGAAGACACTGGCGAGTCCTTGCAGTCGTTCAGATCGCTGCTCTCCGACAGGAGTATGTCCGTGCTGCTCGGCCTCTTGATCGTGTTGATCTTGTCCGAGATACAGAGGTCGGGCATCGAGTTGACGGACGTCGTGGCGAGATTCTCGCCATTCTGAAGACTGTGCACCGGCAAGAACGTGGAGTCCAGGAAATTGTAGCGTCCGTTCGCTTGCAAAGAGGAGTCCAAGTCCATGTACATTGCGGGATCTTCTGTCGAGAGATTATTGCCTGATTAATCTCGAGAGAGAGAGAGAGAGAGAGAGAGAGAGAGAGAGAACCGCCAAATGTTATCGGTCTGCTTGCCTGGTGCGTTCACAGCAATCGTGGTCACGACTTCCGTATTAGGATCATTGGGGTCGAAGGGCAACGGGTAGCCTCGGCATACTTCTAATGTCACCGTCTCGCCGCTACCAATTGACTTGAATACATTTACCATTTCATTATGAGTGAATCCTAGCACGCAGGTATCATTAACGTACACCAACACATCTCCTGAAAATAAATACAATCGCATAGACGGGCGGAAACGGGGAGTGAATCGCAGCGGCGGCATGAGAATGAGCGGTGTCTCGAGCGGAGAAATTACCGGTTTGTAGCTTCCCATCCAGCCAGGCTGGACCGTTTGGCACGACGCTTTTAATTTGGAGAAACTCCTCCACGGCGTCATCGCCGCCGACAATGGTGAATCCCAAGCCCCTTGAACTCTTGATCAAGGTGGTGCGTATCCTCTGGCCTTTCAGCTTGTCGGGATTTCTTGTGAAGTTGGGACTCTTCCGCTCGATCAGGCCCTGCTGCGCCCTTTTCGCTTGCAACACCGGATTCTCGTACTGCGTTCTACGATTCACATGGTCGATGAAGTACGTGCCGTAGAGGGTGTCGTCGATCTTCTCCCAGCCGTAGGGCAACTCGTCGTCCAGGCATTCTTCTAAGGATCTCTTTTGAAATTTCGACAAACGCGGGTCTAACCAGTGAGACGTGCCTGTGTTGTGGCTGTAACGTAACGCGTACACGTTTACGCAGTCAAGAAGTAAGACTGATGATTCATAATGAAGGTCAAGATATCGGACGCGTGCGAATTTCCCTTCTAGTGGATATCCGTAATCTCCGTTACATAACGGCGTTATAATTAATTCACGTCGAGCAGCCAGGACTCAACGGAATCGCCGGTCGATCGTTGCGTCATTTACTCAGTCGTGACAGAAATAATATCGCCACTTTGTCTCACGAACAACGTATGAATACACGCTGTGGTACTTACTCTATAAAATAAACTTCCCCCGTATCCGTGTATGCCTTCTCCCAGTTGGTCGGCAAAGGACCCAACTGATCCTCCGAGGCTGGGTTACGATTTCGAGCGCCCTGCTCCTGATCTGAAGTTCTCGCTATCTGCTCTGATCCCGTATTGTACAAATACGTTGGTGGAATCCGGTGGCTCCCTCCATCGTTTCCAGCAATGGTTAATATTTCCTTGTCCAGACTCTCTCCTATTGAGTAAAACATACGAGTGAGAGCATTTTGCAACGGTATTAATCAGATATTCGCCTTCAAGCAAGTCGCCTTACCGTCGTTAGGATTGTCGATAGATGCTGTGTCGTCAGTTTTCGTAGCCATTTTTGGTGTCCTCACGTTCGTTTTAAAACCCTGGCGAAAAAGGAGTGCAAAATTATCGCACGTAGCAATGCACGACAAAGAGAGAGAAAGAGAGAGAGAGAGAGAGAGAGGGCAAATAAAATAAAATAAATGAATAAACTGAGACTTTTTTAGAAACTGAAACTTAGAATGTATTTGCAGAGAATTCTTGCTGTTAAAAATCTTAGAGATACAGCATAAATCAGCACAGAATAGAATATTTCTAAGTTCTAATAATAACAATGAAGTCAGTTGCTGTATCGTGTTCTTGAGCAGTAATAGCGTGTACGGCGCGACAATCAAGAGTACGCGGAACACTCGTCCGACTCGTGTAATTAAGAAAAGACTCGTCATTACGAGTAGCTGGTAACAGTGCCGTGCATACGCGTGAAGCATCAGGTTGCACGCGTCACGGATGACGATCTTTTTCAGCGCCCGCGCACACCGGTTTTGACAGTTTCCGAAAGAAACAAAAGCTAAAATACAAGTGCCAAGGGAAAAATAGCTGAAAAGGGCATCCCTGGTTCTACAGCAGCATTTTTTCCATTGTACGTTCTCGTATGAACTGAGAATGGGTAATCTCTGAACAGGTGATGGTCGCATGACGAAAAGATCGGAACGGGCAAAATGTAAAAACAAAGAGGGAGGGATGTACAAAGCGCAGCTGAGAAGGCGGAGATCTCCACGAATCTCGTCAATCATTAGTTTTCCGATTCTCGTCGTCGTTTTTCGCAGAGATAGAAAAGAGAGAGAGAGAGAGAGAGAGGAGCGGATTCGAAATCCGTGCTGTTGTCGGACGAATTTGAAGCATGTGTGCGATCGTCCGCGGCCGACTTCACGTCGACTACGTCCGCCCGCCGCACGCGTTTGGACGGACAGGTGTCCGCGGGCGCAATTACATAAAGCGAGGAAAGGAACGCGACCGCGGCCGATAGGGCAAGGAAGAGGGAGATAAGAGGAGAGGGACAGAAAGAGAGAAAAAAAAAGGGAGAAAGGGAGAAAGAGAAAAAGAGAGGGACACGCACGAGGCACAGCGGGCGGGCCGCACGGACGTGAATGCATTCTTACGAATGCATTCACCCGTGCGCGGAACACGCGAGCGTGCCGCTCACATATGACGCGCCGCGTCATTAGGTCCATCCTTACGTCTTGGCCGCGCGTCCCTGCACTTTCTTCATTTCGAGTAAATTGGTATTGTAGATTGGAGAGATGATTGGAGAGAGAGAGAGAGAGAGAGAGGATAGAAATAGATAGAGCGTGAGCGAGACAGAGAGCGATGGAGAGAGAGAGAGGTTGCGCATGAAGCGTAACTCAAACGAATAGATCCAATATAGGCGTGTTCACCCGTGCTTCTCCATACTTCTCCGTATGCATCTTGGGAGCTCCGAGTGGAAAGAGTAGGAAGATATGAAGCTGATAAAGACGAGGCTGATGAAACCGTCCGTCCCGCGATCGCGATTTCCTCGTAGTTTACGTAAACGAAGTGAAGTAGATGTAACTCGAACTCGCGAGGTAGAAAGAGAGTTAATCGGGGATAAAACGTGAACACTTCCTCGCGTTCTCTTTAACGTTTAAAGAGAACCAGAGACGCCGATAGTTTCAAGGAAGGAAGGAGAGAGAGAGAGAGAGAGAGAGAGAGAAAGAAAGAGAGAGAGAGAAGAGAAATACGGAAAGCGTGAGTAAAACGGAGATGCGGAAAGCGTGAGTAAAACGGACAGAAGCTATCAACGCGCGGCTCTGCTAGTTAGCCGTAGTATATGAGTCGCGCAACGCTACGCTCATTCTCGCTACGTAACGTAAATAATGCTACGTTGGGGGGTGGCGGTCCCTTCGCTATCTCTCTCTCTCTCTCTCTATCTACCTATCTCTGTCCCTTTCCTTCTCTCTTCCTTCTCTGTCTCTCTCCTTCTCTCTCTCCTTCATGGTTCTCCCGCATCGACGTGGCCGGGCACATGCACGGCGGAACAATGGCACGCGATCTCGCGATTTTCCCTGCCGATTCTCGTGTTGCAGGTGTTCGATCGCTGCTGGTCCCGGTAGAAACGGTGCAACGTCGAGGCGCATCGAGGCATCGCAGGGAAATCTCGGGTGATGGCTGGTATTTGCCACAGAGAAAAAGAGAGGGGGGATGCGAGGAGAGAAAGACGAGAGAAAGAAGCCGAGAGAGAAAAAGAGAGGAGGATACGTGAACGTTTATCTTCCGTTTTCTCCCGAGCACGAAGACTACGATTGAAAAGTGGCTATGAGGTTCCTTTACTCACGTAGCTTTTCCTGCGTTTCGATGATACGCTCGTCGGCTCGCATTACCGTCATGGTTCCGTCGTAGTGAGCCTGATAATCCGTCGGAGTAACCGTCGACCCCGTGAATCACTCGCGGATCACGGAAAACGCTCGTCGTCGGGGCGATAGCGTTCTCGTGATGACGGAGAGAGAGAGAGAGAGAGAGAGAAAGAGAGAGAGAAAATGTACACACACACGCTCCACACACTCTCGCGCGGCACCGAACTACATCACACGACTCGCCGCACCGCCGCTCGCTCGTTCACTCGCTCTCTCGCGTCCGCCCGCTCATACGCACGTACGACGAGGCATTTAACCGACCGTCGTACGCCGCTGCCGCCGACACCGCGGCTGGCGCTTGCGTCACGGTTCGCACCATGTGACCGGTCACGTGCCGGCGGGAAATCCGAAAGGCGCGCGCCCTGTAGCTTGAAGTTCGTCGGAGATGCCGGGCAATAAAAATACTATCGATACAATCCTCGGTTCTGTACACGATTCACGACAGTGGGTGCGTTCGGGGAGCGCGTTATCAGCGTCGCTTTATCCTCATTTTATCTGTCTAATGATCGATAAAGATGGAATGAAGCTTTAATCCGGATCTGCGATAGGTGCAGTAAATCTTCAGCCTTTTGCTCTGAACGCTAAATTGTAACAATTCCTAGCGAGAAGCGTTTCCAGAGCTACCGGACATCGCAGTTCCTAAAATTTAAATGTTATTACTTTCGACAGCATTTTCCATCAGAAATTACGTTACATTTTATTGTTCAGAGGGAAAAGTTGAACCCCGATGGAAACATCGCAACGAATTTTTTGAAATATCAGAGATATCATGAAATTTATTGAATTTTATCAAAAATCGAATTTTCACTGATATATTGATAGGATGGTGATAAAAATAGAGGTCAATCGAGAGGAAATTTCAAATACATTTCGGCAAAATTTCAGTTATAGTTTTAGTAAATTATACACACATATGTGTACGCACATATATATGTAAATATGTGTATAATCGTGTCGACGACTATGTACTTTCCTGTGCATACTTTCTTCATGATTATCCATGTCGCCAATTGAGAGAAGGGAATTTACGTTCCTCTTATCGCTTGCGAATCGAATTGCAAAGGAAAACTCGATTTGCAAGCGATAAGAGGAAGGTAAATTTCTCTCTCTTTCTCCCTCTCTCTCAATTGGCGACACAGATAACCACGAAGAAAGTACGGGAAAGTGCATAGCCGTCGGCGAGATTCGTATCGAGCACAAAAGCTCGATGAAGTTGTCGATGATGCGGTGGCGATACTCTCGATAGTGCATTAGGTCGTGCAAGAAGCGCTGGCTTGTTCCCATTGTGTATTTTTGTCAGCACGGACGACTTGACCCCTGCCAGGTCATTGTAATACTGTCCTTACTTCGGACCCATCATATGAAAATGTTCTTTCTGCAGGCCTTTGTCTGCGCGTCTCGCCATTTCCTCGGCCTCTTCGCACAGCGTATCCACTTTCGCGGGAAACCACCTCTCGCCGCGCCAGTGTCGTAGGATGAATCGTACCTTGAAGAAATCTGCAAGTAATGTGACGATGCTACCAGCATGACCAGTAGCAAGCAAAACGTAGTCACAGTCGGCCGACCGGGGACACGGGGTGACTTTCTAGCGTTCTTTCCTTTGTTTTTTCCCGGCCGGTTGCGCATTCCGACCGCGTTCCTCCGCGCTGAAGAATAGAATTGTCTCGAAGAGGATGTACCCGATTGTAATGGGAAATCTGTTACGACGTTTGAAGGTCAGGAACGAACAAAACGGAGGATAAAAAGATCTCGTACCTCAGCAGGTTGAACATGCTGGAAGAGCAGACGTAGAACGGAAGACTCGCAAATGCTAGACTGCAATGGGAAAACCGAAACAGTGCCCTTTTCAGAGAAAGATTCGAAAAGCGGATTATCGTGATCTTTATTATGCTGATAATAAGGTAAAATCCTGTAATAATGATCAGATTATACGAATTTTTGGGAGAAAACAGATGAAAAGGTATGAACAAGAACGAAATAAATGTACAGTTTATTTTAAAGGATATTTTACACACGTATGTATTTTGATTTTGATCAAGTGTAATTTGCTTGAAATAAATTTTTCCGTTTTTCATCGAAATATATACGCGTAAGACGCCCGCGGATCTCTTAACTATTCCTGTAATGAAGAGGACTCTCTCTGTGCAATAAAAGGCGACATCGACCTGCTCCTTCGTGCCGTCCGCAAAAACCGCCTCGCGTTCCGTCAGTTTCCACCACATCGCCTTTCTAAAAAGAAACCGCCGCAAGTCTGAGAAGTAATCTTCGCGTGATTTTACTATTTTCTTTCCGGACTCGCGCTTTTACCTACCTGCACGACATTCTCGGGAAACACGGTGTTTATAGTCTCCTTCAAGTGATGACTCAGAATCACGCGATTCACGATCTTGGATGTTTCCGAAGCCAAATATCCGTGCCTGTCGGCAACGGAAGAAAAACAAGTGTTGCGTTTTTAATTCACCTCTCGAGTAGTTTTGTTGAAAAATTTTTTCGTACTCTCGAACGCGAACAGCGGGGATAAAAATTTTTATTTATTAAATTTGAAATTATCGAGATGAAATATTTTGTTTAAACATTTCTTCCCGAGAAGAATAAACGCGAACGAGCTGTATAATATTGTATGTACCAGAAGATCCTGATCCTAACAGGACGACATTCTTGTTGCAGATCCCGGGAATCTTATAATCGTGAATCTGCTGGCTGACGAAGAAGTCCTGGCCGGCTCTTCAGGATATCGGGCTCAAAAAATGACCGATGCGTCACTGCGTCGAATGACTCGGTCATGACGCATCTGTCCATCCGCAGATCCTTGACCTTGACCGTCCATTTCCGGTCCCCCACGACCGGCTCCATCAGCTCTACATAGTGCAGCAGGTGCAACGTGAGGTATTTACAATTGTTCGCCGTGACAAATTTATTTATGATATTTAAGAAAATTAATCATTAATAATTTAGTATTTTAAATATTTAATTTTGGGTTTAATAAAGAGTTTTAATAAATAGTGTGACTAGCGTTAAGTAGATAACGTTAAATAAAGAAATATAATAAAAAAAACTGTGTTAGAATGCATTTAAAAAGGTCCGAAAAATATGACCAAAACGTCAGAAATATGTGACTATTTTTAATAGAGTGTTTAGTCATAAATGTTACATCTAACATAATTTTCTTGTTTAATGGACGATTCGCGCTCTGGTCCTTAATGGTCCTTTTTTCTTCTTATCGATTTGATATCAAAGAATCTTAAAAACTTACAACTTTTTGTTTAATAACAGAATTATTTATTATATGTACAGGTACGAAAAGTGGATTGGACATCAACTTTTACATACGCTTTCTTTCAATTTCTTAAAATTTAAATATTAGTTTCTAAAAATATATCGCCAATTATATTTTCTTTCTTTCTCTCTCTTTTTCTCTTTTTCTGCGTAAACCATCACGAAAACGAAAGTTGCCCCGCGATGAAATGCGACGTACCTGAGGTTTTTGCACATGCTAGTGCGAATCTATCGGAACCAGTTTCCTCCCGGTAGACTCAAGATGCCGTCGATTTGGTCTGTTTTTTCGTAACATACCACTTGATCATCGCAAGTACCGGAAGTGCAATGCCGGAGAGCAGCCAGTCCGGCGGGTCCTGCGCCGACCACGGCGATTCTCATGATCGTCTAAGGCAATACAATGATCGTCTCGACAATAATGTTTAGATATTTCGATTCCTTATTAAATTTCGAATAAATGAGTGAAGAAAAATGTTGGTAACTCGCAATAGGTAAATAATAACAACGATCATTTGTTTACCATCGACGCGCAGCGCCGCAGCGGAGGCGATCATAAACGATTAGAGATTAAATGTACTTCTCAATCAGTTACGACAATAATGTTTAGATATTTCGATTCCTTATTAAATTTCGAATAAATGAGTGAAGAAAAATGTTGGTAACTCGCAATAGGTAAATAATAACAACGATCATTTGTTTACCATCGACGCGCAGCGCCGCAGCGGAGGCGATCATAAACGATTAGAGATTAAATGTACTTCTCAATCAGTTACGACAATAATGTTTAGATATTTCGATTCCTTATTAAATTTCGAATAAATGAGTGAAGAAAAATGTTGGTAACTCGCAATAGGTAAATAATAACAACGATCATTTGTTTACCATCGACGCGCAGCGCCGCAGCGGAGGCGATCATAAACGATTAGAGATTAAATGTACTTCTCAATCAGTTACGACAATAATGTTTAGATATTTCGATTCCTTATTAAATTTCGAATAAATGAGTGAAGAAAAATGTTGGTAACTCGCAATAGGTAAATAACAACGATCATTACCATCGACGCGCAGCGTCGCAGCGGAGATGATCATAAACGATTAGAGGTCTAAGGTTCGTCGAACACGAAGAATTCTCATTAACACCTTCGGCGAAAGTTATTGACGATCTATTTTGCAGTTATGAGGCGTTATCGCGATTTTCACGCCGTGTTAAACAGATATCTCGAAGGGTATCTGCGTGTTTGACTACCTGCTGACTTGTTTGAATTACATCTTTCCTCGGGGTTCAAACGGTGAATTCGGTCGAAAGTGAATATCGACCATTCTGCGTTGATTTCACTCTCACCGAAGACCAAGATAAAATTTAATTGAAATTTAGATGAGTTTTAACCACTTTGCAATATTGTTTTATAAATATACGTTAATTGTTTTGTAAATATATTTAGAGATAAGTTTTAGTTAAGTTAACATAAAGATTATCGGACATATTTCCATATTGGTCGTAGAGATCAAATTTATCTATTTGCTTATTTCTTCATTTATTTGCGGTTTAATTGACTGAAGAAGTATTTCACTTTAAACGTAATTTTATCGTCAGCCCGTAACAGTGATAGTGTCTTAAATATAAAAATAATTGACGAGTCATCTCATCGTTAGTAGTTCTCTTCGTGATTATATCATATTCGAGCTGCTAATCTTTTCTTCTCTCTCTCTCTCTCTCTCTTTAAGTTACGCATCATTATATACATTAGCGCACACGCTGTCGCGGAATTGATGTAACTTTTCCCATCGAAGTCGCGGACCAGTTACAGCCTGCTCTGATTATTTACGATTTCGCACATGCTGGCTGTGCTCGTGAAAGGCGCAACATGTTCGATAGAAAACCTAATACTTACTCATTCCCTCGTACGACGTTCTAATCGTAATTTGCGAAGGCGTATATTTTCTTTTACTTAAAAAAATGTAGCCTTATCTCGTTTCGAGTGTCTTACATTCGATATAGTCGAGAATTAAGCGAAGTAGAAAGTACGATAACGCGTACGTACGTCCCGAACACATGTATTGCATATGTATAAATAACACGTCACTGATCAAATTTGTCGAGGCGAGATAAATCTCATTAAAGCTATTGGATACACAGTAAAAAATTTTATGTTACATTGAACACTTTTCACATGTCTCGAACGGTCTGCTTAAATTTCTTGTATTAATTCAACACAAAATGAATATGGTGGTAAAGTGAAGTAACACAAATAATATATCAAAACATTCATCCACAAACATCACTTGGATTTGAAGAGACGAGAGATACAAGGTAATAATACTGATAACAAGATCATCCACCACATTCACCCGCACAAAATATGAATACTACCGCGCCAGAATTGACGCCTGGCGAAACCTTGACCTTGTTACCTGATTACCGATAACCTCCGATTGATTTTATACGTCAATTTTCCCATTATATAAGCGCGGTCGACAGTTGCGACATTCGTTTGCGTTACAGTTTGAATATAATCGTTACAAAATAGCGAGGCGAGTTTGCGAAAGAAAAAATTACCCACAAAGCGATAACGGAACGTTGTGTACGCGTTGGAGAGGTATTCGGAATAAGAAATAAACCGTTTTATTAAATTAAAATACAAATTTTTTCATACGATCGTTATCACAAGGCTCGATGCACGAATTACATGGAGATGTCTGTTTCTGCTGTATAATTCTCGATTGCTCGACACAGTTATAAGGAATAAGACATTGGTTCTCGCTGGTCGTGCGACAATATGTCTATCGAAAGAACATGAAATATAGTACAAGGCTGCGTCATATTGTCGTCGGGCATTGGGTGACAGATCGGACCTCCGACGAGTGATTCGATGAATATTCTTATAATTGCGGCACAGGAGTGAGTGTCAGTGTATCCTTCTCTCCGACTCCCACTTGTTTTTGTACAACATATACAACTGCATCGCAGCTCTCGCGTCCTCCACGGAATTGTGCTCGCCCGCCTGTATCTGCTTACCTAACAATTCGCACGCGAGCTTCTTCAAGCTGGGAGTATTGCCTTTCGATAGTTGTCGAAAGGGTTTGTATCTTGAAGTATCACGTAGGTATCTGCGCGGGTGAGCCAGGTACAGCACGTCGAGGTCGTGCTTCAACGCGTGACCTACCAGAAGGCGGCCCTTCAACATCTCTGCCACTTCCTTCTGCACAATGTTGAAGTCCTCCCCATTTTGCAACTGTTCCGGTCGGATACCGCTGACTGGTGTCCTATAATCCACAACCAGCTCTCTCGGCTTGACATATTTATCGTACACGCAATCGCCATATTTATTTACAATGGACACTCGGGCCACCATGCTCTCTGTGCCGTCGCCAATTCCCACCATTTCGCAGTCTATAGCAACCTGCTTCGTTAAAGTCTTGCCTTGCTTGCTCTTGGTGACACCAGGCTTCTTGTTCTCGCTTCCTGAATCCTACAATTAACAAGTACATCAAGAAATGTATGTACATTATACAACTCACAGCTATATAATAAACGTACAAATATATTGTGCACATATGAATTAGATTTAGACCAAATGATGATATCTCGAGTACTTACTACATGACGCGGAGTAGCATGCATTTTTAAGGACTTCGGATGCCGCCTGGTTTGTGAAGTATTTCCCTCGTTGTTGTGTCTTTCTGTCTTTGGTTTGGCAATCAAGTTCTTGTACATATTCCAATTAGACCCAGATGCTTTACGTTCAGTGTTAGGAACCAACTGTTGCGCAGTTTTGTTCCTCTTCTCCATAGCATGTGATATCCTGTACTTCCTGGAAAAAAATGTCACATTTTGTCACTGAATTCCTTTTTGTTAAACGTTGTTTTGTTAATGTTGAGAGAACTTATAACAGATTAACTTCGAAAGATGCGATGTACTTACTTAACGACTTTAACCTAATTTCCCAAGTAACATTACCTAACCTCGTAATGTATTTATACTTTAATGTTGTTTACTTATAACACATATAATTTACATAAAACATATAATATAAAATATGTACAATTGATATAATACAATCCTTCAATATTAAAAGGAATAAATTTTCTTTACAATTAACACGCCTTAGACTGGACTAGTATAACCAAATATAACAGTTTGGTCTAAATATGTATAAGGACCGATAAATAAAGTTCTCATTTGTTAAAACGTTAACAATATCGCCAACAATTACTCCTGATACAATAGCACTTTAACTTTTGATGAAAAATTCCTTGATTTGTGCCACTTTACACGTGGAAAGTAACGGCGTGCTCTCCATTGCGTTCACGTGTAAGTTTAAATTCGGCCAATCTACGGACGATAAGCTTGCTCCTCAGAGAAATTTGAACGACCTGAGAGATCTAAGCGATTCAAACGTCACTTTAAAATAAACGCATCTTGACTAACGTACGAATGACAAAGAGACCAAATATGTTACGTAAAAGATACACACGTACAATTTCATTCTTGTATGTTGAAACTGCATACGTTGTATTTTCGCAGTACGCTGTTAATTTTCAAATTTTCACTCTGTTTTACATTAATTTAACGACATTTTCTCACACGAAACGGAAATGTGTTTACAGAATCTAATGACAACAAAGGTCGAGCTCAGTTTGAGGTTAGTTCACTCTGACAATATCGATTAAGAATTTCGTACAAACCGATTCCTACCTGTGTAGCATCCAAACGATAAAACATGTGAAGATCCAAAGAAAGGACATAATTATCCTGTGCGATAACGATTCTATCGGTTGCGAACCATTCTGGAAAACACTGATTATTCGCGATCCCTCGCCGAACAGAAGTATCCCGTTGCTCGATCCTTTTGAGATTTCCAATCTCAGGTAAATTTTCATTAAAACCCGTTACTTCCCTTCCGACCATTCCTCTCACATTTCCCCATTCAAAATAAAATAAACGCAGGAGAAAAGAATCGATCTAAAATTCGTATTATTTTTTTACGTTATCTTGTGTACTTGAAACTTATCTTTCGGCCGCGAGGTAAAAATTCCAATGCTAATTGGTAAGTACCTAACTGTCGACAATCTTATTATTTTAGTCTTTAAATGCGAATATTTAAACTTTCAACATGGAATATATGTTATACATTCAATATATGTATATCATTCGCATGTTTAAAGTTTATAAATATTCACACTTGAAGGATGAAAACGTGTAAATGAAAATGAATAAGTACGTGTCTGGGTTTGCATTGATACGTTCACTTCATTATGATACATTTTTCTCAAACGAAGAAATTAAAATAAATACATGTCTCTATTGCGATAGAAAAGAAAACGTAGCAAAATTTGTGAGAAAGCGTAAAAGAAAGTCCAGACAAACACGATGAGCCGTCTGTGTCTTGTTGACGCAACGAGATACGAATTTCCCGCCAAGGGTCGCGGCAGATGTGCGATTTGTTGCGATGCTTCGCGAGATGCCGCGGCGAACGCCACGTACCCCTTCCAAAGCCGTCGTGCTGCTATCTCGAACATTTTGACGCGTGCGATGCGCGCCGGTTCGCTCGAAAGATTTCAATTTTTCCAGCAACTCGCGATAGCATGAGCGATGATTACGGCAAGGAGACGGCCAAGGAGACCTTCCAGGAACCGCGAAAGAAGTTCTGGCTGGTGAGTCTTGACGTGCTTTCCGGCGTTACGCGCGCCGACGCCTCGCGCGGATTAGCGATCGCCGTAACCGACATTCGAGTGTCAATGTCATTAAAGTCAACGAAACCGTACATTTTCTTTTCGCCAGAATTCGCGTCGGTGCTCGTTCGAGCGACAGCGACGTCCGATTCTCCTATTAGAGATCATATTTGAACGTTACCTCCGGCATTGTTTCATTCAGAGATCGAGAAAGCGACCAAAGAGCGACGCGATGAGCATCAGCTCGATGGACATATCCATCGACTCCGAAATGGGGAACAAGAAGAAGCGGCCCAGGATCACAGAGTTTGCCAGCAGTATATTCCCATCCTCGGCTGCAGTGAGTAAACTGGGCGGCAACGGTAGATCCGCGTTGCACAAATCCTTCATCATTCCACCGAGCTCCTCGGATCTGTCGATCATCGAGGACGAGTCTGATTCTGAAGCGTTGCGCAAAAAGTACTCGCAGTCTGATGATGATTATATCTTGATTTAGAGTTTTCTCCAAGCGGTTGTACGTAAACATACAGTATTCTCATATTTCAGACTAAAGAATACCACTGAGAGCTGTAACAATTTGACGATCAGAAGCTGGATGTTGGATGTGGCATGTGCGCAAGGTAAAGAACGTTGGAGCAATGTATTGACTAGAAGCGAGGTCAAGAGGCAAGAGGCGATTTACGAGTTATACTGCGGTGAAAACGTGCTGCTAAACGACTTCTATATGCTGAGAGACTTTTATTACGAACCGATATCATCCACCGGTATCTGCACATCCGAAGAATTATTCACGCTTTTTGGTGATCTCACGAATCTCATTCAGATACACAGTAGCTTGAGGGATGATTTGCTCAAACTGCGTGATATAAGTGGTTTCACAAAGGCTGTAGGCCCAACGATGCTAGAATGGGTGAGTCATTCCTTTTTATCGAATAGTTATTTTTATCTAGTTAATCTTCCGGCGGAAGTGCCCTTCTTAGTCAAGAGAGCAGTCGCGTCATGCACACAGTACATTGTGGAATATCAAGGAAAATTAAAAAAAAAATCAGCCTTTTTATCGTAAAATAAAGATACAAAGGATATATGACAGTTTGTTATTTACCTTTTATTAATTAATGAAATAAAAGAATAATGATATAGGATAAAGTTTAGGAATCAATTTTCAGTTGTGCAGCTTGGCAACTCTCGCAAGTTGTTGATGTTATTGAACGTTTTTTACAGACAAATCGAGTGTATTTACGATATTTCAATGTTGTACATATACCACCAAAATTATAATAAAAAATTGTAATAAAAAATATATATATTACTAAAATTAGTATAAAAATGTCTTAAAATTATGAGAGCAGGCATGCTACTGTATTGTGTGTACAAATGACGTTCTTTTTAAAAAGTTGCACACACTTTAGCCTGTATTTTGAATTCTCTTTTATCGATAAAAGTTTCTTAAATATGGCTTCTCGACCAATCATGTGATTTGTAAGCCACTTTTAGAGGCATTTTTATCGATAAAAAAGAAAGTTCAGACCACGGCTCCATGCGTGTATTATTAGTTTTATTGCTTCTGCAGCTACCGACACTTAAGAAACCATACCTGGAAAGATGCAAAACGTTGGTATGGGCGAGGCACTTGTTGGATGAGAAAAGATTCAGCAGTAAGCGGTTCCAGTCGTTCCTGAAGAAACGCCTAGAGTCACCGCGTTCCGTTGACTTGTGGACTTATCTGGATGTGCCACGGTCGAGGATCGTCAAGTATCCGTTGCTGGTGAAGGAGATCCTGAAGCACACTCCCGTTAGCGATGCGGATTATTCGCCCTTGAAGGAAGCACGCGATGTATTGTCCGACTTGCTGCAGGATATCGATCGGACGATGGGCGACGCCGAGTGCAAGCTCGCTCAGTCGAAGATAAACGCAAAGATCGAGCACGATCCTGACAAGTGCATTGCTAGTGCCACGGAGTTGATCACGGAAGGACCACTCAAGGATACACGCGGAGTGGTAAACCTTCCAGTTGTCCTTTCTTCAAATTCCTTGAATGTATTATTATGTGTGTTTTGCATGTCAATATTTTTCTTCCTAGAAATATCACTGTTTCCTCTTCGATACATGCTTCGCGATAACTCGGTCCACTCGAAGGCTCAGCAAAAAATACAATCTCATGTTACCCGCCATACCCAAGGACCAGCTGTATGTGCAAACGGAGGATAAGAACATCGCGGGAATCGGATTCAAGATCGGCGAGCATTTCTTCATAACGGCGGACGAGCACAAGAGGAGGCACTGGGTCGATTCCTTCGACAAGTTGCACCTAAGGAAAGTCTCCAGCCAGGTTCTCAACAAGCACAACAAGGAGAATCTGCCGGGCACGGAATCGTCGGAGCCGAGTTACGTTACGAGGAAATCAATGTCCACGAGGACTTCCACGAGCAGTATTAACGACAATCATTTCTCCTTGTTCATAAAAAAGAACCTGCTTAAGCAAAAGCGCAACAGTATCGGCTATATACAGTGAAAAATTCCTGTTGCAATTTTTCTCTTACGATTATTTTCATGATAAATAATCCTTAAATGTATGTAACATATGTGTACAAATATTGCTATATAATTAGCAACCGCGCAATGCGTTTCACGAGAAATCGGCCTTATATTTATAATTATATGCGTTCATTTTATACTTGCATATATATCTAAAGGCTAAATAGAATTGATATGAATTTCTTAATAAATTATGAGGGAAGGAGTGATTTATACATTTATGCAGGTTGTCCGTCAATTAATGATATAACGCCTGTGTGCAGGTAGACCGTGTAATCTATTATCTCGCAGTAGCTATTGAGGAATAATTATTGCGAAATTTTCAAAATAATACGGGATTTTCCTGTTCTATCTACGATACGATCTACCTGCGCGCGAGCGTTGTGTCATCAATTGTCGGACATACCGTATAAGCTTACTATTCGATTAAAAGGATAGAATTGGGAGATATGTTACCTATTTTTGCGTTATACGTCGATATAAGTTGGTTCTTTTTAAACCACCTACTTACGTTCAATAGAACGGATTTGTAAAACATGCCGAAATCTTATTCCACGTTCAGAAGCGGCTTTTGACAAGTTTTTCTTTACTGACAAATTAATCTCATTAATGTAATTTGAAAATCTCGAAAGAAAGTTGTAACAACGCAATGACGTTCGAAAGACAAATTATTCTGTTTCAGGGTTGTTCTACTTATTCTACTATATGTGGACAGCTCGTCGCAAATTGACAGATTAAATATAATAACGGTTTTTCTCCGTCTTCTTAAGGAGAATCTGGAACTTGACTTAAAAAAAACTTCTTGTATTTATTTTTCTTACGGACAAATTTTACAAGATTCGTTTCTTCAAGTCTTTGACAAAGCGACTCAATGCCAGCCAATGGAGTCACTCGAGTTTTCTAGTCGGCGATACGGGGATATTTTTACGGCTTAGTAGGTTTCATGGCGTTCCCATCTGGATACCGTTTCTTGAAGGCTTTGATGAGCTGCGGGTCGATCAGATGGACACCGTCCACCTGATTGCCCAGGGTGATCCAGTTGGGTTGGACGTTGTGCGGCCGACCGAACAGCTCGATCTTCCTGGTGCCGGGACTCATGCGCTCGATGATGCCATAGATCTCGTCTGGTTTATGGCTGGTGGCGCGCACCTCGGCAACGATCACGTCGCTGTCCAGACCTCGGTTGATGCGAGGATTGCCCTTCATGCCGACCAGGCAGTGCTCCTTGCCGTGATTCAGCCAATGGCCAGTCCTGCCCGTACGTATTATCCTTTGCAGCTGATTGGTCTTCACCCAGATGATCTCGTCGACCCTTTCGTAGCCCCACAGTTGCAGACACTCTCTGCCAAGCTCCATGGCCCTGCCGGTTACCCACAGGAACAGAAGTCCCTCGTCCTGAAGCGCCGGGATCCCCAACTGCCTCATCTCGTCGTCCGACATGGTGCCGTAAGGTAATTCCATGTGGATATCCCACGGCGGGTCGGCCATGATCACGGCGAACTTGCCGAGCACAGTCATGTCCAGATAACGTAGGTCACATTGAATCCATTGCGGTGGGTACAATGTGAGCTCGCTGCCTGCGTTACCGCTGGTGCCACCGCCGTTCTTACCGTCCAGGCTTAGTGTCTTGTTAGTCGTGGTATTGCTGGGGTTGTCGAAATCGTTGGTCTCCTTCGGCTGCGCTGTAGGACCGTCCACCTCGTAATGAACGTATCTACGTGACAGGAAGAGCTCGTCTGAGAGAAATAATAGAAAGACGCACACACACTCGCGTGTAATTTCCGAGGTAAAAAGAACGATACGGTCTTCAAATAACCCTTGTGCGGGAGGATTCTTACTTGCACGTGTCCATGTGGAAGCAGGTATTGAGGAAACTGCAGTCGCCCAATGATTCGTCCGTATGGCTCTGTATGATCTTCTTGAAGTGCAGTTTCTTACACTTCTCCGCGAATCCCGGGCCGCCGTTCAGCTTCACACAGTCCACCCGCGTGCCATGCGGGCAGAACTCCATGACTTGGGCGCCGCCCTGGGAGCGAAACCGTTCCGCCAGCGACTTCTCCTTGGAGGTCTGTTTGGACAACAGGTCCAGAATTTGTTCGCCGACTTTCTTGCTCTCCTTCTCTCGGATCGTCGGCATCGAGATCAAGGACATGATATCCTCGGTATTCTTCTTCTCCATTTTCGCCTGTTTCTCCGGCAATATGTAGTCGTACAATTCGGAAGAGGTCTCTGTGCTCTCGGCGTTCTCCGTGTCGTCAGACTGAGACTGATAAGACGACTGAGACTCTGTGAAGGATAGCACTGTGTAGCCGAACACTCCATTCTCCGTGACTTCCTTGATTCTGAGGGGAAATGTGGTTTATACAATTATGCTTGATGACGCGTTGCAACAAAGCAGAAAGGGGATTCTATGTGTCACGCAACGTATCGTGGAAACTCACTAACTTAACTATATCTTGGGCAGCCAGTTTCTCCAGAATCTTATAAATGTCAGAGGAGGACACGTCTGCATTTAAATTTTTGCGCAGTTGATCTATCAGGTCCGCGGATGTTATTGGCAAACTAGGCAGGGACTCGTGCAAGATACAAAGTATGTCTCTTTCGTATTCGCTATGGTCAGAACGCAATGACGATGTGTTAGAATCTGTAATATACATCAGGGTTAAGGATGAATCACTTCTATCACTCATATTTATATAAGTGGAAGTGTTCCAAGTTTTTCATTATAATCATAATGATCTATACGATACCAGGATCCACTGATTCTGTCCTGAGGATGGGTGGTACTGGAGTGGAAGTAAGAGTGAACAACTCATGTCTTTCCCGCTTCCTTTTCTGCAGCTTCTCACGAAGGCTGTTCCTCTTTATCTTGATCGCTTGTATCTCCTCAAAAGCATCTGACATGGTTCACTCGTTGGTTTCCAAGTAAAAATTGTCTTATGTATTGTTGTCCGTTTGCACGTAGAATCAATAATGACTTTACAATCAATTAACAATAGATTCTATACAAAATTATACAAAACAGATTAATCAAGAAGATGCTGAGAATCGTCGTTGACAGATCCAGTTCGGTCTAACCTAACCCCATTATAACTTAATATATACCAACCTGTTCTATCCTTAACACCGGTTTTAGAAAATCTAGCATTAATAATATACATGTAATATACTAAGAGTAATAATGTTCTTTTTTCAAGCATGAATATTAATTTAACACATCTTTCGCAAATAAGAAGATTGGTCTCACTTGTCACTAAATCATACTACTAGAAAAATAAAAATTCTCCCGACTTAACGTTGAACTATGCTACTTCGATTGTCAGCGGAGACGGTGGCGGCTCATAGCGGAAACTTGGGGAATTATTTTAGACGATCCTCCTCCGCATTTATTCATTTCGGAGTTTCCACTACGAGTCGCCACCGTATTCAACGCAGAATCGGAGTAGCAGCACGGCTCCCCGAAAATTTTAACCGACCTTGAATTGTGAAGCTGTACGATTGGCGAGAATCGTTGGATCATCTGCTGAGCACCTAGCGTTACCTCAACACGGAGAACGTTCAACCGCGTGTTCTGCTTCTCCAAGTTGATTTCGTAGGTACATTCTCGCTGTACCTCGAAAATTCATCGAAAATTCATCAAAATTGAAAATGGTGATCTCCAAGGAATTTTTTCTGACGGTCACGCAACGTCTATTCAGCAATTGGACGGCACTAAAGGTGAATTTCCGTACATTCTCTGATATTATGTTAATCCTAAGCATAGGTTATGTTTCATGCCGTAAAGCATGTGCGAGTCTCACGTTACAATCGAGCTTTTTTCTTCTCAGTTGGCGGTGGAACATGACATGGGCCCGAAAGAGAGCGCGGCAGAATTTTGCACATACACGACGGAAGTGCTGTACATGAATGGTATGTTGCTTTCGTTATAGCCGGTTCAGTACAAAAATAGAATATTTTTCTAAGGCCAGCATTCACAGGGCAGGTTCCACTTAATTCTCGCAACGACGTGAGCGTCATACTATCTTTATTTAACATCCAGCGAGAAACAGAGATAGAATGACACGTCGTCGCGAGTGTTAAGTAGGACCCGCTCATCTTCAGATCATCTTCAGATGTTTTGCAGCTAATGAAATGTGCGGTACAACATCCGAGGATGAACTTAAGACGGTCTTAAATATAATATCCGACTGTGAATACCGGTCTAAGTTTTATTATATTCTGATGATTATCATATTGCACTGTGCTTTTCTAGATGAGTTGAACATAAGCGAGGTTGCTACCGTACTCGAGGACTACATGGCCGACTGCTTCAACACAGAGATGGAGGATGGCAGTGCCGCAGAAGTAGCAGAGGTATTGCTGAAATTTTATCGATATTGTCTGGAGGGCAACGAGACCACAGCGAGAACAGAGCTCGAGAAGTTACCGCCATTACAGCCGTGGCTCTCGGTGCTACAACCTGTTCGGAATAATAACTACGTAACGGCAAATCGCGACAGCAGCAGCAGCAGCGAAGAAGACATGGATACGGATAACATGGACACGAAGGAAGTGGCTGAGGAAGGATGGACGAAGGTTAGAAGCGGGCGCAGGAGATAACTCGCGGTATTTTGTACAAACGATATCTTTACTTAGCAATTTCTTTATATATAAAAGAGTGAAAAGACGCGGGGCAAGAGACAGAAAGAGAGAGAGAGAGAGAGAAAGACGGTGCGCGCATATGTTACTGTAACATAGTACGTGCGCATACGTTTCACAGTCATACAAACTTCCGACGCTAGAATTACCTACAGGAATATTTGTTTACCTAAGCAGCCTCTTGGAGTGTCGCTAAATGTCATTTAGCAAGCGTGTCCTCTATATCTGCAAAGCAAAAAACGGTGCGTAAATGGATCGCACGTACGGAATCGTAACGACAGAATTTTGTTGACATTTTCAAAGGAAGATATCCGAAGGACATTACCTTTTCCGTTTTGGGACAGACGGACGGTATAGTAGCCGTTGTGATATTGCATACTCTGCCCCTTCTCCAGGCTGTTCTGCTTCCTCTCGCCTGGCCCCGCCAAGCTCAGTATCACCGGCAAAAACAGCAAGCCGTGGAACAAACCGAATAGCACCACGGACGAGAACAACTGAAACGAGTACAAGGAGAATTGGCGTTCGATTTCACCGAAGACGCATTTGATAATATTCAACACTGTCCGATTCATACCCTGAAGAAGGCCTTGAAGACGTAAGCCTGGCTGAAACCCAGCAGGACGAAGGCGAGGAACGTGCTCAAGCCACCGTTGAGGACGGCCGGCCCGATGACGCTCAGCGTCGTAACCGCACGTTCTGCAACATACGTAACGAAGTACAGAAGTAGTCCGGCGGGGTCGATTTCGGTGCGCGCATTTCGCCGGACGTCTTCCCCTCCCCCCGCCGTAAATAGTATCTATCGACTTTATTAGGAACTCTAATAACCGGTAACTATTTACATTGCATCATAAATCTCGACGTTAACTTTTGTACTACTACGACATAAACAAGTGTGCGATCCTCGTAATTTAATTCTCGTCGTTCACGTCCTTCCCCGTCAGCCGTACCCTGCTTAGTGCCGCTGGAGCGTATGAACTCCAGACCGATGTGCGCGGCGTAGTCGACCGCGAGACCGGCGCACAGCAAGACCATGATGGTCGACGAGATCTCGACGGTCAGGCCCATGAAGTACATCGAGCCTAGGAGATCGACGAGCGTGAACAGCACGCAGCACATCACCCAGAACGATGCCAGTAGATTCCTCAGCAGCACCAGCGTCACTATCCCGACCGCCACTATCTCCAGGCTCAGGTTCCTGATCAGTTCCTCGCCGATGATCTGGAAAGAGCAGCGACGTGAGCGACGAGGAGACCCGGCGTCCACCTGAGTCCGTTAAGCCCGCTCACCTTGTTCGACGCCCACGTCACGTAATCTATCGAATGAATCGCGATATGGTCGTGGGTGAAGTTCAGCGACATCACGGCGTCACGGACCGACTGCATGGCTCGTATCTGATCGGACGTCGTGCTCATGGGGATATGTTGCACCGGGATCTGCGAGGTCTGCGAAAATCGGTAAGCGATTAGGAGTGAGTGGAGGCGCTTCTCATTCGTCGCGGAGCGTCAGATGGTTGTTACGTTCGCGTGCACTACGTACCGTGATGTTGTACTCGTTGAACGGAAGCTTGTCGAACTTGATGTCCTGGATGTACGCTTGACCCTCCACCGTCAGCAGCAGGTATTCCGTGAGGGTATTGTAATACTCTTCCCTGTCCACGATATATTCCGCTGTGACGGAGAACACAGTAGGTTATATTCAGTGGTAGATTCAGATCTCGTTTGTTAACATCGTCTCGTCCGAGTCTCTCGCGATCGCATCGTGTCTCGTATCAAGTCTGAATCAGACTGGGTGTTGAAGATCGCGAATTGACAATTCGAACTTGACAAATGTGTGACATAATTGATCGACTCGTCGCATTCCAATCTGCCGATTCGCAATCCCGGATACGACGACTACCTTTGTGAGTGGTGTTGAGCCACTTCTCGTAGGCGACGAACCACGGCTCGAGGGTGCGGTTGTTCACGTAGGGGTTCCGCCTGAGGTTGTCCACCAGCTGGGCGAGCGTCTGACGGTCCTCGTAGTAGTCCACGCCGGACAGGTAGATGTTGACGTTCTTGCCGTAGCGCGGGAAGTGCTCCTTCAGCTTGTTGTTGAACCGTATCGGATAGGACTCCTGGTTTAAGTACATGAGCGGGTCGAAGTTCTGCTCCACCTGGAAGATCGCCCACACGTTGACGCACAGCAGGCCGGCGGTGAGTAGCAGAACGATCGTCTTCACCCACGTCCTCGTCACGCACGGGCCGACGTACTTCTCGAACATGATACGCTGGAAGTCCCGTTTGCTGCACTCGTTCGCTTGCCAGTCCGGCCGCTGCGGCCGGCAGCAGCAGCCGTCCTTCTTCGCGGCCAGCCTTCTCTCGTCGTACACCAGGCAGCTGACGAAGAACATGATCTCGTAGACGTAGAGGAACAGTATCCCCGTGGCCGCGAACATGCAGAAGGACTTGAGGAACGGCATCACCGTCGTCATGCCGATGCCGAAGGCCACCATGTTGGTGAGCGACGTCACGGTGATGGACATACCTGCGACATACGAGTGAAATTCAAGCTCGCGCACACCGGTCTCTTCATTTTCACGACAGCCCCTATTAGCGCGCGAGTCGCCGCTAAGTCAACGAGTGAACTTTCCCGTATTTTTAGTACGTCCGCGAGACTCGCGTTAAGAGATTCACGTTCGACTGTAGACGCGACTGTAGGCAACGAACGACCGGTTATTTCTGTCCGGTTCAACGGCGAGCTCTGCCAAGGGACGCGCGTGCTCGCACACACCTGATACTTGAATGGCTTTCGCGATGCGCTCGGCTATGCCCGATGACTTGTCCTTCGCCGACATGGTCTCCAGGCTCTGCATTATGACGAACATGTCGTCGACGCCGATGCCGAGCAGCAGGAACGGCAGGATCGGGTGCACCGGCCCGTAGAAGAAGCCCATGTAGTAGCAGAGGCCGTAGGACGACAGGAGGGCTTGCCCGACCACGGAGATGCCCATGAGCGACAGGTAGATCCGCTGCTGCACCACGTTGCACCGGCCGATCATCACGATCACGTAGATCGTGATCAGCGACATGCCGCAGAACAGCACGGTCATGTTACTGTTGATCACCTGGTGCAGCATGTCGTGGTAGCTGCGCGACGTCACCGCGTAGATCTCCATCCCGGGCGGCAGGGTGCGGTTCGAGTACAGCACCCGTTCGATGAACTCGACCTCCCAGTCCGGCGAGCGAGGATTCGACTTCTTCAGCATCCAGTACATGATCGTCGCCCGCGCGCCTTTCACCCAGCCGTTCTCGTCGTATTCGACGTCCGCCAGCAGCGGCGCGATGTCCGACAAGATGTCCTTCGCGTGTCTGCCGGCCGAGAAATTTCCATTAGGAAGCGACGAACGGCCGCGATCGGAATTATTTTTTTGTCTCTCATCGAGAATAATTCATCGCAACGAAGTCGAAGAAAAACAAGAACGCAGGTAGATGATGGGAAGAAAGAAACAAGTTCGGTAAGTCGTTCGATCGAGTTACATAAGGAGGCGAGCGATCATATTGAAAACAGATCACGTTAAAACGAACCTTTATGCCAGGTAGGCGTGATAAACGTAATTGGAAGACCGGATTTCTTTTTGCGAGGAAACTCGTATTATTAATTTATTGTGTGTACCGTAGACTTTATCGATCTTCCGTTAGTTGGATATATCGTCACGATATCTTTCACTTATGACGGTCGCAATTAGTGTGTCTCACACATATGCGCGCTAATTTTCCCATTATTTCCCTCCGCCTCGTGAATGTTTCTTTCGTTAGCACTCAGCTAACAGATCAGACGTTAAAGGGCGCAAGGAACAGTGGAGAATTGACGAGGTATCTGGGTGTTTATTGCGACTATCGAAGGGTCTTAAGTTTTATTCGAAAGATTCTTGCGCGTAGAACCCGCGATGTTCGATACCGAGCGATCCGATCGAGTAAATTCTCACGTGAAATTCCTCTACTTCACTTACTTCGCATAGTCACGTCACATTCTGCAGTATTTCCAGTTTACGTCCAAACCGATTCTTCGGGAACGTTTCTTTTTGCAAGAAATTGCGTTAATTGATTCTTTTTGCAAAAAAAAAACTATATTAATTGACCGCATACTTGAGTTTTACTCTAGGAATTTTTATGCGGAATATATTCCGAGGCTTGTCGTCGAGCGATCCGACCAAATAAATTCTGTCGCGTGAAATTCATATCGTCACTCACTTATTCTGCATAGCTACGGTGACGTCGCGCAGTATCTCCTTCTTCGTCAACATGCCGACATCCTTCGCCCCGTCCTTCTGCCACAGCTTCAAAAGCGACTTGTAAATACACGCGTCTTTCGACATCGTGTCGTTTATAATAAATAGATACTCATCGGGAAACTCGCTCTTGTCCATGGTTTCCCACGTGGCGTCCTGCTGAAACCACGTGAAGTGCCTGCAAATATATCGTCACATAATCTTCGTACTGAACGATCGTCGCGTTTTCTCGTAAGGAGGACTCACCCGGCGCATACGTCCTTCCAAGTGTCATTGTGAACCACTATGCTCTTCACGTCTCTCTCGATATCTTGGATCTGCAATAGCGAGCGATCGGCATCACGCAACCGCAATCGAGGCAAAAACATTCGTACAACGCGATACCGTTCTACATATGTAGTCAGAATACATATATAATTATACAAATATCACGAGAAATGAATCATCCGGATACTTGTCGCAGCAATCACGATTAATATTGACAACGTCACGAAATTAACATTGTTAAGAGAGTACGAGGTACGAGGACGCAGGGACATAACGAGCGACTGATGTCTCGGATAACGGCAAAAACGTTCAAGATTCCACCTTTCGAGCGTTTCTAAAACCTTTAGACATTTGCGCCGTCCAATAATCGTCGGATCTTGTAACCTCGAGTATCTCGGAAAGCGAGGAAGAAGGACGACAGCGAAGCGTCGTCTCGGGCGGACGCGACGAGCTCGGCTTAACTATCAATTAATCGCAGGGGAGAATTGTGCATTAATGTGGAAAAGAACCTTCGTTGGATACTCGTATAATTCATGATCGCCTATGTACCGATCGCAGCACTTCGGGGTCCAGCACGTTCGGGGCGGTGACGATGATGATCTCGTGCCTAAGATCGTCCCGGAAGTGTTCCTTCACCCAGGCGGCGTCCTTGCGGAACACGGAGCCGATCGGCATGTAAAGCTCGACCTCGTTGACCTTCTCCTTCCAGAGCAACAGTCCGAAGCCGCAGATGACGTTCAGGCAAAGTGATATTATCAGCCAAAGCCATGGCTTTGTGGCTATGCTGAGTCCGATCCTGAAGAGCATACGAGGATGTGTTATAAGAACGAGGAGGAACACACACAGATAGAGATGGAAGAATAAATATGTAACATAGGAGGAATATATAATATACAGGGTGAAGCACGCAGTAACTATTGCCACCTTGAGAAAATATCTTCGAAATACGAGAGGACGAAAATTTATTTAACACAGGAATCATATCGGTCGTCACTTCGAATACTTTCCGTAAATGTAAACGTCGTCTATCTTTTCATCTAGTCGTCAATGAAATCTGTTTATCTTTCCGAGGTATTGCAGATGGTGATAGTTATCGTCTCATCCTACAATATAATGAGAACGATCGCAACGATAACTAACTTAAGGCATTGACCGCCGAAAAAACCGTCGACCGCGCCAGCCGTGGCGGCGACAGATGCCTGCCGTATTAAATCACACAAATTCGATTTACTCAGCTATGATCACGAGACAATGATAATCGATACGATCGGCTCGATACAACGGGGGCAATGATCTCCGATTCAAAGGACAAGCGAAAGCGGAGAACCGACGCTCTTACACAATCTGGTTCGCAACGCGCGCGATCTGATGAATAAAATATCTTTCACTTTTGTGATTTCCGATAGAGAGAGACAGAGAGACGCTACTACTATGTGCGTAATGGCTTAGCGCACAAACCGCACCATCCGGTGTGCGGAAAAAAATAAAAATAACGCGGCGCACACATGCTTACGTGCCGTCCTCTGCATCCAAGGAATCACGAGGAACTAATTAGGCGCCTGCAAAGTGACGATCTCGAGGTCGCTCAGATTTCCCGATTGGAGAACGAAACCGAGAGAGCTTCTTTCTTCTGTAATTCGTGTCCGCGCTATCAAGTAGTCGGAGGCCACTTGAGCTATCAATTAATCGTCAATTAGGACGCAGCAGATACGTACCTTCGCGGCACACTCGTCAATAACACTCATCAGATTTTCCAAGCGCGTCGTGCTTGCAACAACAGACGCCTTTGACGTTTTCAGAGACGCGTTTTACTTAAAAACACTTCTTGGAAAGAAGAAGATCTTTGCTTGTGGTTGCGCAATGCAATGCTCATTAAGAATTGAAGACTTCCCTTGATATGAGGCACAATATTGGACAATGAAGACGATGGGGTCAAAAGCGAGATAGAAACCTGCTGAATTCCCGATGACAGATCATTAGAAAACGGAAGTACGCTCACATGAAGACGATAATGTTACACCTTTCTAAAAATAAGTCCTGTAAAAAGTAGCTTTTTAAAAAACGAGGAGAGTGGATCCAGGGACCAATGAAATTTAAGCTTCGGAACTTCAAGAGAGCTGCGTGAATTAAATTAGAAATGTTCTTAGAAATATTCGCGAATTGTTTTGAATTTTCACCGCTCTCGATCGATTATAATTGTCATTCCTTCTCAAATTATGCGTTCCATTAGCGTCGTTTGGTGACGTTGGAGAAAGGAATTCAGAGATCAGCTTCAGACCCTATGGAAAAAATTACCATCCGTCCCTGTACGGATAACCAAGACGTTCGGGATGAGTTGAATTCGTGTGATGAAATTCGAAACTTGTCGGTTCGATTGTAACGTTAACTGTAGAATTCACTTGATTGGCAATGAAGAATGTGAATAAAACGCGGCGATCTCGTTGCGACGTTACTATCGCGAAAATTGGCTGAAACCCGTACTAACCCAGTAGCAGTTAATACAAGTGACGATGCCGTCTATATTCCTCCCGTTTGGGACTGATTATCTCCGACGTGCGACCGTTGTGAGAGAGAAAGAGAGAGAGAGACGGACTTACAGCATTACGTCACTTCTCGAAAAGACAACGCGAAGCAACGCCTGATACCATGTCGTGCGATCGTAATGTGCTCGCCATTACGGCTTATTAAAATAGTTACGTAAAAAATATTCGCACAGCTTTTACGATCGCTTTTTCCTTCTTTCTCTCCCTCTCTCATTATTTTTAGTGTCGGATATTTTTTCATATTAATCATATTTTAAGATAAATATGACGAGTGTTGTCTTAAGATAGCTGGAGCATAAAATGTGTTTCTTAAGAATTCGCACTAAGAAAAACTTGCGCTATATATAGATTTAAATATGATCTAATTATCGGTACAATTAGAAAAAAATTCGGACCATTCGGAAACTGAGATATTTGCAACTGAAAATGACATTTTTTGTATGTATTTTTTGAAGTCAATGTCTTATTCTTACCTTCTATTTTTAATTTCTTCCAAACCACATTTAAGATTTGAATAAAAAACTATTGTGATATTATGGACCAATATAGAAGTATTACACACAAATTTCAGAATTATTGACCATTTTGTTTGGAAAATAAAATTCATAGCTTACATTTATTATTATTTAACAATACTCGAAATACACATACATATGCACATATTTAAACATTTATATACTTCTTCCTATTATCTGTGCATTTCTATTAGATCAACTAATGCGTAAAAATAGCATTAATAAAAAAAATAAAAAATAATATTTTCGTATTTATAATATTGTGTGTATATATGTGTGTGTGTGTGTGTGTGTCTACCTCAGCTTTGTTTCAAATTAACATTTATTATTCAGGCAGTGAAATAAATGTACAGGAACATAATTTTGTTTGACAAATACCGAATTGAGTGAGTGACCGCCTTGATACGCCACTGAAAATATGGCACTCTGCGACACAACTATCTTAAGTTCACCGTCATGGAGTATAACATATATAAACAGAGACGCATGTGTAATCTCAGATAATTTATATGCGACTTAATCACAGACGAGAGAGAGAGAGAGAGAGAAGCGTCGCGGGTCCGCTGAAAAATATTTTCCCTTTCATTTTTTTATTTCTGTATTTCTTTAAATGACAAGACGATAACGATAAGGATCTAGCTGGCAAGCCGCCTTATAGAGATCAATAATGCCACAGCTGCATCGTCGTGTGCGAATCTTTTGCAACTGCAAAATCATCCGTGGAATAACGAAATTATTATTATTGCGTTCTCACTCGGCGCGGCCACGCGCGACTGGGGAAACGCCGATAGAGATTGTTTTCCCGCGTCTCGTTGCACACGTCGACGTTGTATTTTATTGTGCTTTGAGAGTCACACGCATCGCCGGATGAAAAGAGTGAAGTACCGGGAAGAACGAGACTCGTTCCACGAAATGCAATTTACAACAAGTCGGCGAGACGCACGAAAACAATGCGGGCAAGAAGATGAGAGAGAGAGAGAGAGAGAGAGAGAGAGAGAGAGAGAGAGAGAGCTGCATCCGAAGGCCCCAGAGGAGACCTTGAGCGAGCGAAAGCGCAACATTCAATTTTTTCCCTTCGATCTCGAAATCCGGGATCTCACCTGCCATCGGGGCCACCATTCAGATCGTCGTGAAATCATGACGCGCGATCACAACAGCAAAAACGACAGCACACTAGTTTCGCTTTCGCGACAGCTTTTAGTCTCCATTTTTTCTCTTTCATTCCTCGCTAAACATAAATACACAACCGTCCCAATCGTAGAAAGCGCAATGATTAGACGTAACGCGCGTCGTAGCGTGCCGTGTCTAATCGAGTTTACATGCCTCACGAGTCGTATTATTTATATCGCATCTGCCACGTTCGAGGAGAGAGACGAGTATGTGCTCGGATCTCGGAAAAAAGGACGGAAGACATCGAGGTGAATCGAGGGAAACTGAAGCGACCGGAGAAAATATGTGTGTCTTCCACCAAACGAGTATGCGACTCTTCATAGTGAGCTCTTGAACGTCGGTTTTTACTCGAAAGAAAGTGCAACCAAGCTTAAACGCTATTACCTGTGATGCATTCAACCCAATTTATTCATCTCGTTCTTCAGAGATACTCGTCGAGAGAAAGGAAGAGGCAAGAGAATAAAGAAGAAAGAGAAACTCTCTTCAATTTCACTACACATGTTGCATCCAACGTACGAGTGTGTTTTACGCTCAGGAAGAAAGGAGCCCAGAAAGCCGGGTTCAAGGAACAAGTACGCGCTCAGGAAGAAGAGAGAACTCCCGAGAGACGCCACTGAAGAAAGCTCACCTTCCTCTCTCTCTCTCGAGCGTCCTGTTCTCTCCTACCTGCCCCTCGGCCCTGCGGTCTCGCGTGTGTCAGAAAAATCGAGGGGACCGGCCACGGAAGCAACGAGCCCTTCTCCCCGCGTCGGCGGCGCTATTGCGAAGCTTCCGGGGAGGGGACGCCACACTCACCGGTAGAATATCCGGTCGGAGTTGAGGTGAAAGTCGAGCAGCAGCTCCTTGCAACGGCTCCACGTGACCGTGGCACCACCGTCGGCCCGGTCATCCTCACACGTGGTGGTATTGTACACGCCGGCGGTTGTAGCTGCTGATCTCGGCACCCTGTCGCTGTCGCCGCGCAGTGCCTCCATCCCGGTGCGATGTTCCTTCTCGGCAGGCCCCGCGGGCTCCGTCAGCTGGCGCGAGAGACGCTTTGTCTTCTGACGCTGCTTCACCCACCGTACGACTGGCCAACCGACTGACTAACTGCCTGCCTGCCTGACTGACTGGCTGAACCGCGGAGCGTTGCGGCGAACGAACGCGGCGCTCGCAGGCAGCAGCCTCGAGTCCGCCGCGCGGGGATACTGCAGTATACAGCCGGGAGGGCAATGAACATCGTCGTCATCGTGGTAGTAGTCGTTGTCGGTCGTGTTGCAGCGGCCGGGTGGGCATCGGCATCATGAGGCCCATCGTGGAAGTTCACGTGAGCGCTTTCGGTGCGAGATTCCCCGTAGGCCACACCGGCGGCTCGCACTTGGTAGCCATTTTTCGAAGACGCACGTTGCGACTACTCGCTAAAGTGGGCCGATCCGGCGGCATAATATCCTGATAACGCTTATGAATGGAAGGGCGGATTACATTTGATTCGGAGTAGCTCCATGTCGCGTGGGAGACCGGCGCCGACGTGAGACTAATAAAACGTCGGCGCCGTTGGTATCGTGCAGACGACTGGTCGTTGCCGTCTTCGAGGCTAATTGACTGTGACGCTCGATTGGCGCGTTTTCAGTTACCGTCGAATTTATTTATTATTTCTTCGTTTCTCACTACGTCCGGCATCGGCCCTGCCCATTGAGGAGCGCCCTTGGGGACGGCTGTTATCGCTCGTGAAATCGGGTTGATGAGACCGCGTGGCTGACGCGGCCCCGTTAGAACGCCGGGTCACCTATGCGCAGGGATGACACGGCGGTGATCGCGCTAATGTATCTCCGGAGCAGCAGAACGGAACGAGCGGCTTGTGGTCGTGAAAGCCCATCTGGGACTTCCGCTTGTCCGTCGCGCAATCAACTCGTGAAGACGTTCGGCCGGGCGGACAGCTCCCGTTTTCGTCGGGCTGCGCATTGTCGGACGGGCGGATTTGGACGACGGCTCGAGAAACAATCGCCGAGCCGGTTCCGATCAAGGCTACGGCCAAGGCCCCGCGACCGCCTCGTGCCGAGGAAGATCGATACAGCTCGTTTCATCGCGTAACGGCGACACGAGATCGGAAGAACCGAGGAGAAACGCGATGTCCTCCTCCGGAGCACGTAGTTTGTGGGTGGACCAGTACAGCCAAACTGTACGTTGTGAATTAATGCCTGATTTGCGCAAGTGTCGATTAGATCTAACCTTGAATCTGATTAAAAAAAAAACTGGTATTCGTAGTCGGATCTTATATTTAACACTTTCGCTGCCGGACCGCCGGATCTTCGACGACTTTGCGTTCACGCCACATGCACCCCACGTTATCGAAACTAAGAGTTTTATCTTTAATATATGCGTCATGATATTTATAAGATATTGTTTTTGGTAAGGAAAATATATGACGTTCAAAATGCGCCACAGAGTCAAACAGTTGTTTTAAAAAAATTTCGTATATTCATGTAATTTATGTCGAAGGAAGAAAGTGAACTTTTTATTTCTAATATTGTTAATATTTAACATTAAAATACTATATTTTTAATGAAAATATATTTTCGAATAAAATACTTATAATTACGACACTATATCGCGATGTATTGTGCTGAAACATGTTAAACATAATGCGACTTTACAATCATTGCAGGATGTAACTACTTATATGGTGGAATTTCCTTGCTGATATCGTATAAAACTTTACATTGTTTTTTATAGTAAGCTTTACAAAGTCGATTCATAGAATTGAATTCTTGAGAAAAACGTAAATAATGATCGTCTTCTACGCATATGTGAAAGATACGCGATCCCCAAAATCATGTATGCCACTACGTACGACCGAGCATCACCACACACACACATCTATTCTGGTACAAGGTCATCTTGACGGACTCCGAAAAATAAGCAATGTGTAGAGTCCCCGCTGTTGTTCCCTGTCGTTGTTCGCTGCTCGACCATGCTGATCGCCCACGGTTACGCCTTGTGTGCGTTAAAGTGCGATAAAATGCGAACTTTGTAAGAATACAAAATGCAACAACGCTACGTTATCACCCGGAAAGGAATTTGGCATTATCGCGCGGAATTTCTCCCGGTGATTTAACAATGAAATACTTTTAATGCTCATCATCGCTGCTCCGCTTTGAATAATTCAGATACCGACGAGGAATGACTGATAAGATGGGAAATGACGCCGGGCATTCGCGAGTGATTAGACTTGAGGCGAAAACGCGCGCGCGGGCAGACGCACCGGACGAGCGTGCGTCACGCGACGACAGACGTTCACGCTCGGTGCGGATGCACCGAGCTTCCGAACGTGCGAGGGAGCTAGCCAACCGTGTGGTTCTTGGCACGCAGGTGCATCGATTGAACGCGGAATACACGCGCGCGGGCGATTGTTGGCGCTTTGTCTCCGTGGAGTCCCCTCAAGCGCGAAAGCGCATTTCAATTTCAAGCCGAGATGTCGTAATGAACGTAACACCGACGCAATAGAGAGAGAGAGAGAGAGAACGCGAGCGAGGCGTACGTACGTGTAACGAGAGCGAAACGGAACGGAGCTCGGTTCGCAAAAATGACTTCGGTCGGATCTACCTGATGATGGACAACCGAACACTCTCTACAATTTGACGTTAGACTCATCTCTGTACGCGGATGGCCCAAATCTAAATATAAAATGGGAGAAGTTCTTTCGCTCTTTTTCGAGATCTCGTCGGAATACCGAACGAACCGAGTTCGTACGCGTTATTTTTGCCTCGTCAAGTAAAAAGGCGGTCGTAATTGACGACCTCAGAAAAAAATCTACGATCGTAGTTGAACTTCGAAAGAAGTGCGTGACTTATGCGATGTTTTCGCCGACTGTGTCGTTGATTTTTTTCCTTTTTCGTGCATTATGACGAGTGGATGACTCAACTGTGCGCGGCGGAGCGGACGCACTTGAAACGTCACTGCTGCGGGTGCATGTGCACTAAGTGCGACGATCATGCGCGTCGTGCTCTGCGAGAAGACTTGTTTACGATATGCAGATTGGCAGGCGCGTTTTTTTTTTTCAATGCGACTCTGCCTTCCAGTCTCTTGAACTGTGATATGTAATATGACTGAATAAGTGCTTCGCGAGTACACGCGAGAATTAAGACGATAAGAACGACGACGCATTCATGCGTACAAGCGAGCTTATGATTTTACTGCGCGATTACCGCGATTAAGAAAATTTGCGTACGACTCGCGTGTCTCGGTGCTACACGTTGAATTGCGCGTGCGAAATGTTATCGCATCGACGAAATTTTGTATTAACACGTGAATGAAGCAATAAGCGCCAGATGGTCCGGGAGGGAATCCCCCGACCTTCAATCTTTCATCTCTTGCCTTTCCTCCTCGTTAGATCCGACGTCTTCGTCATCCGGAATAAACACCGGTGACCCTGTTCACCGTTCTTTCCGACGTACTCACGCACTCGGGCTAAGTCGGAAGCCGCGTACGCGGTTGCGTAACAGCCGTGCAGCTGAAGTTTGGAGCGATTTTAGAGTGCAAATTTGCAAAATTTCTTCTTTAAGTTTAATCTCAACGAAAAAAATATGGAATTGTGCAAAATGTGTCGATATTTAATACGAATAAACGAGGAAAACGGGAAAGATCCGGCGGGAGTTTTAATTTGTGCGAATATTCCGCGCGCACAATCCTTTCCGTTCTTCTTGTTATTTATTTATGTTAATATTGACACATTTTGCACAGTTTCATTGTTTTTTCTCCACATTTTTGTTTCTTTATTGAGGTTAAACTTGAAAAAAGAAAGGATTTTTTCATTTTCGCTCGAAGATCGTTTCCAACTACAACCACATTAACAGCTCGGTGGACTCGCGAGAGAAGCCGTTCGCGTGCGAATGCACCGACGCGTCCATGATTACGCGGTGATGCAGCAGCTATTAATCATTGACATTACTCCCACGCCGGGAGATCTGCTTCCCGAAGAATGGAAACGCATTTCTCACGCTTTCATTCGCGAGCGAATCTAACGGAAATCGCACGCTCGAGATCGTAATGCGGCGAACGCCGTGTGATTAACACCGGGAAATTCGAGTGAATATTTATGCGGGTATATAGTTCTCTCCCTCTCTCTCTCTCCAATCGTGCGGAATCTACTTGGTCTGATCTCCATTGGAATTCGAGTTCTAACGAATTCTAATAAAACGAGAATTCATTTCTGCGTCAGTCAGTATATCCGTCTTAATTAGAGTTTAGTCTTGACTCGTCGCTGACGCCCGCAATTTAATTTCATGGCAATATTTATACGGGTGCATAGTTCTCTCTCTAATTATGTGAAATTTATTTTCCTGACCCAATGGGGTTCATTGTATATAATATTCTCTGAAGATAACGATAAAATGAGGAAAGTAAACTTAGTGATCGCTTTTCTCAGCAGCGGAATGATATTTCTCTCTGCGCAGTCTCGCGGTTTGATTTCATCGGGACTCTGAGATCGCGTGCAATTGGGTTTAATTGTGAGAGGATTCGACGATACAGGAGTGACAGTGACAGACAGAGCGGAGAGAGATAAACGGAGAGGTTTGGTAACACACCTCACGTTTGCCATATGATTACGTGATTACGAACAAAGCATCCCCGTATGCGTCGGACTTCTACCTCGTCGAGAGCGGATAGATAAACTTAGATACTTATAGAGAAGCAATGACGGCACATAATGTGATGTGTGTATGTATATGTCGGCGATTACGCGCAGGGTCATGATTCTAAAACTTCCAGGCCTTGTTCTCCGACACACGCCCAGTACGATTAGATCTATGTCAGTGCAGGCACGTCTACCATCCAACTCGACTGATTGTCTCGAAATGTCAACAATGATAATACTCTTTAGGAAAAGAAGTTGAACTTGGACTCAGGCGGCTTTATTCGACTATAAGCGCGATGCTAATTAAATTAAAGTTTACTTATGTATTCTCCGGGAGGGACACTCGGCGATAACGAAAAGTAAAAGAGAAAGAGAGAAGAGTGATCTTGTGCGAAGTTTTTATCTCGCTTGAATCGCGCGGTTTTCCCGGTGCGCTATTGTCAATGTCAACCTTGACATTAAACGAACACGTTTTACAATCGAACGTCGACGACGATCAAGGTCTACGTGTCTCCGTTATGCCAACCGTTCTTTCGTTCGTTCGTTCGACAAATCGCCGATCCGACAATCGAGCGAGCGATAGCGCGAGCATCGCCGAGCTGCGCGCGATTAGCGAACGGTAATCTCGGCCGTTTTGTTTGTGCTGCCGTTCGACATTATGGAACTGGCTCACGAGTTTGCTGGCTGCACGTCCTGAATCCCCGATGGATCATCGTCATCCTGATTGCACCTTATCGGCGGACGCAACACGAGTCTCTCGGCGACGGAGGAAAATGTATGCGCGCGAGTCTCCTTATCGTCGTCGCGCAACGCAGCGAACGACAGCTAAAAATGGTATAGATAACTCGATGAATCGCTCATCTAGTATGTGGCACACGCTAGCGAGCGATCACGCGAGAGGAAGAAGCGAAGGAATGGAATTAGCCGCGTGATTATCCGCAGGAAGAGAGCAAAGGTCCCTTCGTCGCTTCTGCCCGGCGAACGAAGCTCTTTATCTTTCATCAAATATAACGCGCAAAGCGAATGAACGGGGAGCGCAGGTGAGACATAGTAGCGGCAGCTACGCACAAGTGTTAGAACCGCGGTAGGAAGCTCAATTCGGGAATTTAGATTTGGAAATCGCTACTCGAAACTTGCTCCGAGATACACAGACCCGAGTTTACAGTTAGGTCTGGATTTTTCGGTTGAAGCGTGATCACAAATACGAAATATAATATGATATATAATATATAATACAATAAAATAACCCAAGAATGTCAGTGGACAGGAAATTTTTGCCGTGCGCTCAGCTAACGTAGTCTGCCTAAATGGAGAAGAAAGTTCGCTTGAATTAAGACACCATGAAGTAGGTGAACACGTTTTCGTCGAAGGGAACTGGATTTCTAATTCTTATGAGCGAAATTTGCTTTATGGGAAATCATCCCGAGATTCCTTCGAGCGAAAGGTATTCGGTTTGTTCGCCGTCACATCGGACCAACCAATCCTTCTCCGCGCACTGTATGATTTTTAACGACGCACCGGCGATTCTCAGACACGATTTCATCTCCGATGAAAATCTGGCCCGCAATTTTCGGGTAACTGGCAACCTATTCGTGGTCGCATCCGCGTGCAACATTGCACGTTGCGCCATTTAAGCCGCTAGCTTAACGCAACCATTCTCAGATTCTAACGCGCCTTCTTCGCGGAGAAACAATGAAATCGGTGCCTCTAACCGTACATTCAACGTTCAACTGCCGTCGCAGCGACTCGAGACCTCGCATTTGGCCCGCGAGAAGATCACATATGCGACGTCGCTTCAGTCACGGGTAATCACGGCAGTCTCCTCTGCGAATCTGCGGCGGTCTCTCCTCGGGATTCATCTTCTGTCTGAATCTAGGTCCGGCGGACTTGCCGCCTTCATGTCGAAAAATCATGTCATCCCGGCGAAGAGACGTCCGTCTCGGGCGACGATGATTCGCACCTGGCCCCGTTCGCCCGGATGGAGGCTAAACAAATCGCCGGGTTCCGTCAGAGGGATCGAAAAGGCGAATCGAGCTCTCGCGCTCCTCCGCGCCCCTAAGTAGGTCTTTAACCGCCGAGGACCGTTAGCCGGCTCGCGCGACCTTCGGCAAACAATCCATCTGCGGCGATTCGTCCGACAACGGCGCGTTTTATGTACCACCGACTCTACCGGATCTTGCGACACACTATCTCGCCCGTCCGGCTTCTGCCGCCGCTGGAGGCATCTTCGCTTCCGGCGGCTGCCGGGACAGAGGCCGTCGATCGCCGCTTGTTCGGCTCGGACTACGTGGTCCAGCGGGGCTCACCGGTCTGCTCGGGAGGATACGTCGCACGAGAGGATAACCGAACTTTATTTTTACTCTGCAGCCGTAACTGGATATCCTCGATACGATGATTTCATTTCGAAGGCGCGACGTAGCGCGACGAGATAATTTGAAATCGGGATGATTGGTTCGAAAACGGAGATCTCGAATTGGTCTCTCGAGTCCCTCGGGAAAATTGATGAAAAATCCTAATCGATTGTAAAGCGTTAAGTGTAACGATTTATTTCTAAGATCGAGGGATCTTAATAATAAGCTTGTAGCAATTTTGCATAAAGTTTCTTAGATCATCGCGATGACAGCATCATCGGTCGCCTTATCGCAACGAGACATCTCAAGACGGGTCTCAGGAACCTTGAAGTAACGTTCCTCACCTTCTCTTCTGATCCGTGCGAAGTTCCGGATAGCGGCCGACGGGAGCACCGTAACATGCATGCAACCTTCGACTCCGTACATCATCATCAGCATATCAAGAACCCCTAGGGCACCCCGCCTTCGCGGATTCTCACGTGTCTCTCCTCCTTTTCCGGGAAGCAGCGGACCGACCGGTTGGCCTTCGCCAGATCGGCCGGTCTGTCAGACGGTCGGAGGAGATCGCCAAATGTTGCCGGGCGACATCGTCTCTCTCTCTTCTCTCCTCGTTCTTGTTCTGTCATCGGTACAATCGATTCTTCCGTGAAAGACAGACGAACGAGCGGCGTTCGGGCGAGTCGCCAGGTAGCTGGGTAATTTACGAGGTAAGTCGGCGATGGGGCCGATGGTGGCGAAGGTGTCAAGGTAGGGAGTTCACGGCAGAGTGAATGCCTTTCTCGCGGCCGGTGCCGATCTCAGTGTTCCTGGTGCGACCGATGGGACCCGTCGTCTCCTCGCGCGTCGTCGCCAGTGTTAGAGAAACGCGAGAAGATTCGCCCGTCCATTCATTCGTCCGAGTGCCAGCGCCGGTGCGAAGTGCGTCAGGTCAAGTTCTGTCGATCGCTCGTTGCCGGGTTGATCGATTGCGACTCGCGTTAACGTCGACCGGAGATCACCGGCGTGAGTAATACCAGACGAATTGGCCCTCAGGTGACAGCTCGAATTATGAGATGCTTTGAACACCGGCGGAGGTGGATATCGAAGTGGATGACGCGGAATTTTCGAATTCCACCGTCGATGCTCAAGCGCTGACGATTAAGGACTCTAGTCGGTATCGTTTGCTCTCGCGTCGACGAAATCAAAGATAGAGCCTCACAGATATCCGATTGAGACAAGCTGTCGAGTCGATTCTGAAGCTGTCCGTCAAGTCGAATCTGACGATTACGATTGGCGTTGGCATTTTCCTCCTCTCGGAGGATTTCTTTTTCGCAGTCCGCGCGCTCCTCGGAGCAGCGTTTGCGAAAAACATTTCTCAAACAGGCCCAGCAGTGTCTCTACCGCAACATCTTTTCCCGAGAAAGTGTCTTCCTTCCCACTCAGAAGATGCACGGGTAACTTTCTCGTCTGGCTCATTGAAGGCGACGATGATTCTTCGCGATTGTAAAAGCGCGGAATCTCCTGCTTGATTTTCGAGGGCGTGTTTAGGTAGTCCTGTCTTCGATCGGTTCGCTCGAGATGAATGACGACAGTGACAACTCGGGATACCGGATAGTGCGTGAGAGGAACAAAAGGGGGAATTACGAACGTGTTGTCCCCAGTTTGGAATGTTAATTACATCCGTTGAATGAATCGAGCTAATGAGACGAATGGTGTATGAAAGTGATGACGGATGTTTCAATCCGTCATCGAAAGTTCAAAACTGAGAAAGTGATGATTAAAGTTGAAAGAAAGGATTATACATCCGAAGGAAGATTTATGTGATATCTAATATTGCAGGCTTCGTGAATATTTCATTTCTGACTTCTCCAGAGAGAGAGAGAGAGAGAGAGAGAGGAATGATAATTTCTGACTTATACGATAATTGAGATTGATAACTCGGGATACTTTCAGTATCGCGTACGGGAACGGAGATCATCGAGTTCGCGCGATTAACCGATTAACCTACGGAAATGATTCTCTTCGTGTCCAGATGAGCTGAATTTCCGAAGTAGGCTCAAAGGGCGAACGCGAAACGCTTCGCAAACACGTCGCCTACGTCTGCGGCGCAGTTCGAGCAGTGAATCGGCTATGAAGTTTCGAATACTGAATCCCTGATGGATTAACGGTTTTAGAAAGTCGCGAAACAGCCAATAGAATGCGAATCGAAATGCAAGAATGGTCATAAAATCGGGGAGGTACCAGATGCCGGAAATATATTTGTAAATGCGCACTCGAGCGGAAGATTATTCTTTCCCGTTATCACTCGTGTCGTTCGTGTCGATTGAAATACCGGATGCAGCGATGGACGTTCCTCAAGTAGACGTAATCTCTAGTTCTTCGCGTTGGAAAAGGAGAAAAAAAAAACTGTCGGGAGAGAAAGTGTCGTTCGGTCATCGATTATGAATCGGACGTGTCGGGAGATAGACAGGACAGTTAGCAAAATTGACAAAACGAGAACGGTAGTAAAGTTGCCCGAGAGAATCGCGCGAGTCTACGTTACGACAAATTGGCTCATTTAGCGAATAATTCCGGTGCACTAGGCGGTTTTTAATTGGCGCGCTTTGCCTACATACACACACACACACATATACACATGACACAGCGGAACGTGACGCGGACTCGACGAACTAGATAGTTGGGATTTTTGATGCTGCGACTTCATTATTTTACCGTTACTAGACACGATTACGCTCATCGCCGACCTGCATTCGATTCGAGTCGCCGTGTATCTTTGTGTGCACATTAAATATTGTCTTCAACGTATAAGTTTCCTCCACGAACATTCTTATTTTCCCGCCAACGTGTGTGTGTGTGTGTGTGTTCGCGAGCGATATCGAACGTCACATTAGACTGACGCGAAGGATTTGCCTTTCCATTAAATCCTCGGTAGGAAGTTTGGGTGTTAAAAGAAAAAAACAGAAGGCCGCCGTTAGATGCCTGTGAGAAGAAATACTGAGTCAGTGTTGTTCATTTTATTCGCGAAAGTTATTCATTCCTCGCGATTGAATCGTGCTCGCTCTCCATTTTACTCAGCAATGAACGCAACAAATTTGCCGGGCTAATTTCAATATAGGTTGTGTGCGCGGATGTGGAACGACCGAAACTCAGCCGAACAGTCATGTACCATTTTGCAAAACTCGCAGTAGCTAATGAGGAATTAATTAATCCGTATGAGTGTAATAAGCGTACGGAAAGCTACGGGCCAGATAAAGAAACATGGCTCTCGTTAGCAAGATTAATTAATTCCTCGTTAACCATCGCGAATTTTGCGAAATGGCACATGACTTTCCTGTTCGGTTTCACCCGTTCCACCTGTACTTATCCGAAGGAAATTACCGGACGTTCTGTGTATAATCGAGAGCATTCGCATCACCTACCAGATGCGCCGAATAAATTACCCGCTCGCTGTTCGTCAGAATTAGAGAAATCGATCGAGGAGAAAACATGTGCAGAAGTGGAGAAAAGAGATCTCCTCTCCGAGGGTTCTTCCACGTTAAGTACGAAATACTCAGCGAGCATAAAGGCAAGAGCACGCGGGCTCTCTTAGCGTGATGTAGCAGTGCGAGACACGAGTGCTTTTGTGCTCTCTTGTCGCTTCTTCGCTGACTTTTCTCCAAGTTGGGCGCGCACGTGGCCGGCATACTCGAACCAACGGAGCCGCTCGTCACTCTCTCTCGCTATCGTAGCCCGCTTTTCCTTTTGGCATTTTGGGGTCGCGTTTCAACACACAAATACTTTCGATGCGTCGGGCCTCGGCCTCTCTCGACCCAATCTCTCCGTCGGGAGAGCGCGGATTTAAAATTCAGCCGCTGCCCGCCCGCGCGGAAACGTCGATTCGACGACGATCGTCGCTGCTTTCGACTTCGACCTCGGTGATCGTCCCCGGAGGAAACGCCTGGTTCCCTTATTTTTGCGCGAAAATCGCGGGAGACACGACGGAAAGAGACATGGAGGAATCTTTCTAAACAATTATATGTGTCTAAAAGTCGTCTCAAAGGCGTTATTTAGACGTCGTAACGACGTCTAAGAGACATCTTAACGTCTTGGAAGGTTTTATTATCTAAAAGACGTCTTCACGACGTCTTAGGACGTCTTAATGTTACCTAAGTATCCGTTGAAAATCGCACATAGGAATAATGCTGTCGAATTTCCAGCGGCACCCGTAATTAGAACAAATCTTCCGGATTCAATTGCGATATCTTCGAAGCTAATGCTTGAATTATCGAAACAATACATAACGTAGCAGCTTGAATGATATTTGCCATTGAATCAAGAAGATTGGCTTCAATTACACTGCTGTTGGATATTTTATCGGCATTTTTTCTCCGTCCAGCGTGAAGATATCACACGGATCGGATTAATTAAGTCAAGCGAGTCATCGATACCTTAGGACGTCTTAATGTTTCATCCTTGACCGAAGGGAAGTGTGTTACGACGCGCGTCGAGACGCGATCACGGACGTGCGTTCGATTGTAACACGTCCATAGTCCTCGATATATCTGTTCGATGGCTGCCGGATAGCAGATGTCGAATCTATTCGACGGTGAGAACAGGACTTCGCGCTCCAGCGAGACGATTTCGAGACGTTCTCTCGCGCCGTTCCACTTACATCGAGAGCAATAAAGTCGCTCACGGAAAAGCATCCTAGACAATCGCGATTACGCGATCGTGGGGCGCAGTCTCGCGAGCGCGTCTTTTTCCTCCTCTTCTCGTTGCGACACGACGTGAAGAATCCCACGCATACGTTCCGCCGAAGCAGCGGAATTTCGACTGCGAACCGTCGCGAAAGGCGCGATCGTTGAGATTCTCCGCGCAATCCGAATTATGCAACGAGTAATCTGACCTGCGTAACTGCTTGATTAATTTCACTCATTGTCTCAATTTATGTTGACTAATCTGATTTGTCTCAGTTAATTGGACTCATAATCGTTTGATTATAATCTTATAATAACGAAGGAACATTTTCGGACTGTAAATTTCGGGATGTTTCGATTAAAGAAGTTTCATTAAAAATCCAAAGGAAGCCTCTTTTTCCTCCGTACATTTCTTACCCCCCAGTCAGTCGATGTAGGAAATCGAGAAATAACAACGTCCTCTCCTTCCCCGCAGAATCATGATCAGACTCGTGAGCGTCCTCGTCCTCGTCGGCTTGGCGAACGGCCAGCTGAACTTCGAGGGGAATCCGCTCACCGAGTACACCGATTACACCGCCGAGGAGAGCAGCCTCTCCGAGAGGGCCGCCAAGGACACCTCCGTCTACTCGAACTCGGCGATATCGCGTCCTCAGAGACTCTACCCGGTCTTCGAGACTCCTCGACAGCCGGCCAAGACGATGGACAATGAACTGTTCTCCGATCACAGATTACAGGCGCCGCGTGTGTTCTCAGTCCAAAGTCCCCCGTCCGCGCGGCAGCTGCAGACGTCCACCGAGCGAAGCTCGCCGATCGACCCGGCGGAGGTCGCGCTCACCACCTTCCTGAACTCCAAGACCCCCGAGGAGTCCCGTGCGTCGCTCGACTACTTCCTGCGCAGCCAGCAATCGGAAGCTCAGTCCCGGTCCGCCGACGTCGCCGTGATCGATCAGGACGAGAGAGTGGATCGAGTGGACACCCAACCGATCATCCACCAAGTGGAACAACGGCAACCGCTGCTTCCCCAGACGGACCAGACGATTCACGTTCACCTGACGCCGCAGGTGGTGCCGCAGCAGGTCAATCAGCAACGGCAGCAACTGCCGGCCAGTCAGAATTTCGTTTACGCGCCACAGCCGCTCACCCAGGCGGCGGTGCAGCCGGTGATCAGGACCTCTGCGGGTATCCTGGGCCCGGCGACGATGCTACAACCGATGCCGATCGGGCCTGGTATTCAGATGCGGAATGACCCGATGATGTCGGCGACGATGTGGCGGCAGAGGATGAAGAGGTTACGCGGCAAGCCGTTGCCGGGCGTCTTCCCGCAGGCCAGGATCGCGCCGGCCTTGTACAAAGGACCTGTCGCAGGTGAGTCGTAGGGAGGAGATGCGCGACGGAATTGCCGAAGATGCGGGAGAGAGAAGAGGGCGACCTTGAGCACGAGGCAGCTTCGAGCGACGCGATATCTTCTTTTAACGAGGAACCGTCTAAGTACACTGAGAGAAATCATAGTTTTATGTTCAGCCTCAATTATATCCTTCTGATGGTTTTAATTACAAAAACAGTAGCAGTAGTATGCGTATAAGGTTATTGTCACTGACATTACAGTAACACTTGCTCGGAGAAATGGCTCTCCTGACTATAGTTCTCTCACTGTGATAATTATAGTTACAATTAAAAAACCGGTTTATCCGATTTTTTTCCGCGGATTTTCCCGGTTTCCTTTCCAAGGGTGGAAAAATTCGCTTAGAAACGTTCACGAGCATGTTCGGCTTTAAAACCTGCCACGTTTATTTCAAGTTAAATGAAGTGAATATATTAAGCAATAATATCGAGTTATCTTCTTCACGGAAAGAAGCGTCGACTCGAGAAAATCGTTCCTCAGTTAACCGGCATTCCACCAAGGAGAAAACGGGGACACTCAATTAATTGCGAATTTTTTACATGTTCAGATCGAGGGCGTTAATTTCAGTTCATACGGGCGATACTTAATTAAACCCTGAGATTCGGTCACCCTTCTCGAATTATTCTCGATTGTTACACATTACGTTACCACGCGGAATGAAATTATCTCAATCGAATTGTGAGACCGCGAGGACGTCTTCCAAATTATTCGCGTGCGACTCGCCTTCGTCTTCGCGATTGCGCAATCGCTAATACGCCTCGATAAGCCGCGTCGTTCAAAGTTCTTGGACGTTGGCCCGGCAAAGGTGTGCGATCTTCACCCGACGTTAAAGAATACGTCGCCATTGTCGCGGATCTGTAATTTTATACGGGAAAATACCATCACGGCTAAATCCTGCTTCCTGACCGGCAGTCCTTTCGTTTCCTTCTTTTCGACATGGGAAATCGCGACTTCATAAATTACGTCCGACCGAATCTGCATAATTTCAGCACTGAACACACGTATTTACGGATTACCGTCGTAGATATCTTTACAACTCGCTGCCAGCACATAGTCACCGGCGCAGAAGACCGGCTGTCGTGCGAAACGGATTAATCGCACGGCAAATTCCTCTCCCGGGGAATATTTCTTTCGAAACAAACGACAACTTACGTCGGTCGCGGTCCTTTCCTTTTCCCTTTCCTTTTTTCCCACCGACCGGTCGGCGCAGACATCGAGACGCGCGTTTACGTCGCAAAGACGCGATAAGTCGCGATCGAATAAAGTACCGGTGACCTATCATATATCAAGGCTCTCGGCTGAACAATTTACTGAAGATGAAAAAAGCCAATAAAAGCTGACGCAAGATATAAATTACGAGACTCGATTACCGATCTTCCGTACGTGAGTCACGAGGTTCCCCCCTCCTGCGTTTTAGTATTTTAGACGAAGTGGTAAGTCCGTAATAATTTTTGTCTTCATCATTTCTTCGGAATTTTTCCATTGAGGAAGATCGAAGTGACGAGACCGAGACGCTTCGATAATTTTCAAATGAGTCCGTTTGGTTTGCTCCATTTCATATTTTATTTACAGACCGAGCTTCGCAATTTACATCTTGCGTTCGTAGTCAAGTAATTTTCATGCATTATTTTTTTTTTTTGAATGTTTTCACTGAAGAGGATCGGAATGACGACCGAAGGGCGATTCTTAAAGAGATCCGTTCGGTACTCCATTTCTTATTTTACTTATAGACCGGTTGAATTTCGCAATAAACATCTTGCGCCGACTCTTAACGGCTTTTTTCACCTGCGGTCGATCAATCAATCACCCCCGTGAATTCTCCGAATTTCTCATATTCTATCAGCGCGCTCGATCTTTTCTATCCTTCTTCTCCCAACCAGTGCCCTTCAAGGCGCCGGTGGAGGTGATTTACACGAAGCCACCGGGTTTCCATCGGGGGCCAGCGAACGTGATCGCCAACCCGCCCTTCGAAGACGCCAGCTCTTGGTTCCCCGATTCCGATTACCCACCACCCTCGAAGGACGTCTACTACTCCCAGTTGTACGCGCAGTCCTACGATCCGCACTACTACAACTACATCGCCGCGACCGGCAAGGTGCGGCCGCACCTGTACGGCAAGCTGGGCAAGCGGAAGGAGGAGCAGGAGGACGGCATCTGGTCGGAGCTCTATCGGGGCTTCACCAAGCACGGCCTGAAGAACATCATGACGCCGACCTTCCTCTTGGGCATGACCCTACCGGTGGTGACGCTCATGCTCTCCGCCCTCGTGCAGAAGCGCTCGATCGCGAGGTCGGACGCGCGCGACCTGGGCCAGGAAGACGCTCTGCAGGAGTACCTGGAGAGGCTGCAGCGGGCGATGATATGTTACGGGAGTAACAGGAGCACCGCCTCTGAGGGGAAGAACGAGTGTTGAAGGCTGCGGGGAGGATGCTGCCGGTCGATCTGGACGAGTGATCTACCTACCTACGATCGAGGGGTTCGCGCACGTGGGAAGGAGAGGAGGAAGAGGAGGAGGAGGAGGAGAGAGAGAGAGAGAGAAAGGCGCGGGAGAGATTCTGAGATTTATTTATCATATTCTTAGTATAGAGATTGCGTGTATTAACGCGAAGCGTGCAAAAATCAGAGAGAATAGAACGGAACGAGCGCTTCTCACGCTCACACGGCTTGTGAAAACGATCGCTCTACTACCGTGTACGCTCGAATTTCTGCGATCATTTCTGGAAACAGGCCCGAATGATACGCGGACGCGTGTTCCCGCGGTGTGTTATTAGCGTTACGCAAGACCGGCACGTCTCACCGCAGTCTGTAACAACCGGTCGACCGCCGCCGGTGGGAGAAAGAAAAGGAGACACCGCTGTAACTGTTCTCCACTACACTCTCCGCGTGATTTAGGGATAATTAATTGGAGCAACGGGAGCATATGGGGGCGAGAGAGCGCTTTCTGCTCGCCGCCGCGTCGAAACACACCGTGTACACGACGCACGCGTGTACACGAGTAGAAAAACATTTTGTGATGCGTGTGCTCAAGTCGGTTCTTGTTAAAATTTTCGTGTTAAATCCTTAACACAGCCCTGCGTTAATTTAACGTACTTGTGTTCACGTTGTCTCGATATGTACTCGTGTTCTGAGCCGGTGTTCAACATGTTCGAGTGTTAAAACGACAGATTTTATACTTCAGCGTCGATTACTACGGCTGTTAATTTTTCATATGGCCAGCAAATATTTGTATTACCTTTCGACGTATTTATCTTGCGTTAAATCAACACGAAAATTGTCATTCATGTTCGAGACGCGTGAAGTGTGTCGAGTTTAACGGAGAATTTTTTACCGTGGCACGTGAGTAGCACACGTGCTTGTGTATCAACAGAAGTATAATATATTCGCGTTAACGAAAGCGCCTGCGTTAATTCTTCCCTCCCCCAAGCACGCGAGTGTTTTCCCACATTATTCACCCATCACGCGCGGGAGATTGAGCGTGAAGAGCTACTTTTCTGCCTCTTTTCAGGGCGCGATAATGAAATCGACGTGAGAAAACTTTCGCGCGTTGCGTGTCGTTGCCGACCGGTCCGCGCGGAGGCGAGAGTGGAGAGTTCGTGAAACAGATAATTGACAACAATCGCGAGAATCAATTCGAGAATGCCGTCGTGGACGACAAAAATGTAGAAATCGAAAGATTCGTCGTTCCTCCTCGTTCACGACGCAAATTCGACGCTTCTCGTCTCGCGAATTGTGGACTGGAGTAGGAAATGCGGATGAAAAAATTCAACAGGCGAATGAATAGATGGAGAGGACGCGAGAGACGAAGCGAATTGTGAATAGAAGTCTGCGTTGGCAAATTCAAGTGGCCGAACGGATAAATCGAGTCTATTCGGGAGATGAGGTGCGAAAACGGCACCAGCTTCGAAATCTAATCCGGCCTGTACGCTGCAGCCGTACGTTTTTCTGCTCATGTACAGGCGCACGCTTAATTTACGAGTTCATTAATATATGTTCGGGCTAACATAATTGACCTTGCCGTTAAATTGCTAATCCGGCAGCGTCCGCTGGAATCGTCGCAGGCTCGTGCGTGCGCGTGTACTAAAAATATTTACACAGATAAAGAGATATCGCCGTGTGACAGACATGGGGAAGATCGATCGAGCTTGAGTTCGGCGCGTACGCGTGAGAAAAATTAAATGCCATACGTTAAAAACGAGTTTGGCTGGATTCTACTTTATAATGACGAACCGGACGCGTTTAGGTCGAAGTAAACGATATTTCTAGTTCTCACGAATTAAATCTGGCTCATATAACCGGAAATTCTGCTTCCTTCTACCAAAACGCGCTTGACTACTCATTAACAGGTAAATCCAACCAAAATTCATTTCATTCAGTGTAGAGAGTAACGATCAAAGAAACGCGTATCCGAACATTACGATATATAAATTAATCGGGGTTTTTTTTTCTTTTACGATTCAAACTGATCCGAATCGAAAGCGGAGAAGAGGGGTTATCGAGAGGATCGATGTGGGATCGATAAAGAGGGATCGGTCGGCGAGACCGATTGACGGACCGCGGAGCGACAAGTACACCGAGCCGCATTTACAGTTTAGAAAGTAATGGCTTCGATAATCGGATCGACGATGTAATGAGCGACCGGTTGCGCCGGATACACCAGTAGTTAACAGCCTTGTCGCACGGAACTTAATGTGTACCGCGATATTCCCGAGAGATGCACTCCCCGATCTGGAACGCAAAACCTGTCCCAAGTGCGTAAAACGTTTAAAATGTAGGACGCGTATCAACGACCACGTACGATCTAACGTCTAATTCCTTCGGCCAACAAAGTTACTGAGCGAAGAGACCTCGAAGTGTTTCTTCTTCTCGCTGCTCGCGTGATGATTCCACAGAACGTTCGCAGGCGAAGATATTTTTCACGCGTGATGGCATTTCTGGTTTGCACGTTCGCAAATCAAGAAGAAATCAACCCGCTCGAGAAAGAATATCACGTATAGTTTTACCGTTAGCGCGTTTACCGATCGATCTGTTTATCCTTATTATTAATCCTTATTGATTTTTTCAAGATAATTCTTAAAAAAATAAATTAATTTCTTCGAAAATTATCTGTACACAAGGGCAAAGGTTTCCTTGGGTTTAATAAAATGTTTTTATTGTGACAAATTTGTGAATTTTTAGAGCAAATAAACGAATGTTTGATTTTTCAAACAATAAATTATTCGAAAGTAGTGATGCTATATGTTAGAAAAATATTAAAGAACTTCTTGTTGTTTCAGTGGAACAATATTTAATATGCAGTGAAATAATTTTTTTTATCGGAAGCTAAATATTATTTCCTCTAAATAATACTGTTTTCCCTATGAAACAACATGATTTGTTCCAGTGAAACATTTTCATTCAAACAGAATATACATCAAATTATGTTATTTTATCAAACAAACACGTACACTAAATCCGAGGGAATCTTTTCTTTTGTGTAGAAATTCCAATTTCTTTAGAAAAATTCTTTAGGAACTACATTTTGAAGAAATTTCCAAGAGATTACTCTAACGTTCTTCAAGGATTGATTTAAGAGGCGCGTCGTAAATAACGTGCAATTTTTAACATTTACTTAACATTTCTGTCAATTCACGGGTCGTCTCTCGCGACGAGTGCTTCGGCCGAGTTTCTCACTGTGCGTTGCAGGCTCGAAGCTGAAATTTCTCGGGAATTATACGGGGTGTTAATGCGTTAAATTAACCGTCGTGGCTTTTGACCGAATTTTACGCCGGGGACGCCTGGCGGACGCGCCAACTTGCTTGAGGGCTCTCTCTCTCTCTCTCTCTCTCTCTCTCATTTGGCACACGTTGCGCAGACGCTCGAACTGTTCCCAGACTGATTGCAATCGAATTATTTAATCGAACGTTTGACGGCTCAACTCAAGGGTCATGAGACTCAGCCGTCGTGTTTCGCTCGGCATAAGTAATCATGCATTGCAGTTCATGAGATGCCGTGCGCCGTGATTTCCATGATTTTTCATTCGTACCTCTCATTCTGTTCCGTTGTGGATGGATAAAACGGGACGATCACGGCGTTCAAATGTTACGGAATAAAATTCTACCACACAAATTCGCCATAGTTGTGCGAAAAGGATCCGACCCACATGGAGTTCGTTTCGAGAGAAATGAAGATGAAGATTTTATACGTGATTTAAAAAGTATGAATAGCACTGAGGTTCTTCACGATCGTTCGGAAAATCAAACGTGGTTCATTTTCCCCCTCTTTAAGGGTGCTCGTTGACAAGCTTAACCCTTAAAAAATGGACGAAAAACTAGTATAAAATAGCACAACCGGTAAGAAAATAAAAACTGTTTTCTAATTAATTCTAGGCGCTCATAAGACTTGGATCTTTCGTTTTACGCAGAAAGACGTATAGACTGCCTGCTGGTAACAAAACTTCAAAAATCGATTTTGNGGGGGGGGAGGACGATGGAAATCGCCGGACGTAAAATGAAATTGAGCATGCAGTTTATTAAAATAAATTCTAATTTTCGCCCGTAAAAGTCCGCAGACGCTTCTACATTTCAGACGAACTCTACAGATGTCATAAGTTAGGAGAGGACACACAGTGTCGGTATTGCCCTCGGTAAAACGCGGCGTTTCCCACACACTTGTAAATATATGCGCGCGCGCGCGCACGCGCGCGTGTGTGTGTGTGTGAAACAACTGCCATTGGTGTGTACGCGCGTGTGTGTCACTCTCTCGCTATCCACTAGGTGTTGCTGGCTGACGGAGCTTACTGAGCCGACGTCAGAGAGCTTTATTTGCATGTGATGCTTCATTGCAGCTGCGATCGTCGCGCGAGCGAACGACATAAGCCGGTTTGAGAGCCACGACGTTCGTCTAGTTCTACTCTTAGGGTGGTCAGTCTTCGTCCCGACTGGCGTCAGTCGGCGTGCGTCGCTCCTCGGTGTTGCACGTGGTGCGACGTGGTCGATCGCACCGTGTCGAGAGCTTGAGCGGTGAGGGTGAGTAAAAAACCAAGTATAATGTGCGCTTTCACTTGCTGCTGTGAGGCAGCACGCGCTTCTACACGACGGCATTTCTTCAAGTGAAGTGCGACCCTTTGTAAAGCTCTCCTCTTGACTCTCTTCTAATAGCGAGAACGCCGAAGAATTCTCGGCTGTAAAGTCGCACGCGTCGCGACACCGAGTGGCGAATAATCGGCTAAGAGAAAACGACGAAAAGTCGCGTGCGCTGATGAGCGAATTTCCGATATATGTATATATATATATATAATTATAAAATTATAATTGTAAACTGTTACTATCGAGGAATATTTCTTCACAAGACGATAGCTGCTGGCAAAATGAAGTGACAACCCGACAGTGACCGTCGAAGTGTTAAGCCGGACAGTCTCCCGGAGTTTCATCGAGAATCGCGGCTCGCTCGTCGCAGCAACACCCGGAAAAAGGAGAGAGAAACAGAAACCTCGATATAATATTGTATTCAGTGTATTCGACCAACGAACTGTATTTCAAGACTAGACCTGACTACTGCGCGGGCGCGATCCACACCGGCCGCGCCAGGTATGGACCGCGCCCTCGACGTTGTGTTCGCGAGTACGCTCACGAGTGGCTCACGCGAAAGCGATCGTGTTATCGATAGTCTTACGTCTATGTAACTATCCACTAGACAAGCACACTTTACGTATCACCTATATATATATATATGCGTGTTGTGTGTACCGCTTGCGTTGCTCCTTTGACTATAAAGCAAGGCGCGCTTCGACAGACAGCACAGCAGCGTCATCTTTTGCGTGTAGTAGAAAACACGTAGAATTCGAGTCGACTCGGTGGCTCCACCTGTTGCTCGTTCGGTCAATCAGAGATGACGAGCGTCGTGTCGCTGAATAAAACTGACTTGATGAAATCACTGCAGAACGGAGTCTCGGCGGTTCACCCGACAGCCGTGAAACGTATTGAAACCCATCTTACGAGTCCTCTTTACATATACATTTACATTTATCATCTCTCTCTCTCTTTCTCCCTCTATTTCGGCATATATATACAATGATGCGACGATATATTTCGTTTCCTTCAAAAGATCGCTCTATTTGTATACGATATAAATTAACACGAGTCTCGCGAGATTAACGCGACCTCCGCAAGCTCGTAACGTTCTCGTTCTCGACTCTTTCAGTTTTCATATTATGCCTCTTGTTTATCTCCTCACGATAACAACCGTATTGGATTGCAATTCTTCTCGTCGATCGACGAGTTGGTCGCACCTGAAGACGCGTGACGATTCTTGGTGGCAAGTGTTCGGTATCCTAAGAATCTTGTTAGGAGACGAAAAGACATGATAAGATGAGCAAACTAAAATATTGTGCTTTCTCGCGTTATAGCCTCTCTCCTGCTATTACTCTCCGTCACCCCGCTTTGGAACGTCGTTTGTTGTGGCAATGTCTAGCGCTCTAAAGGATTATTCGCTATAATAATACTCACGTCACTTATTCTCTCTCTCTCTCTCTTTCTCTCTCTCTCTCTTTCTTTGTCTGTCTTTCCGGCGACGTAAGGATGTGAACACGCCAAGGCTAGAGGTATCTTACTACACGCTCGAATTCACTCGAACTTCTCCTCCTTGAACGCGAGATTGATCGCTTGCCCGACATCCTTGACGATGAACGCCGGCTTGCATAGGCCGTCCTCGACCGGCAGGAAGTCTCTGGGACTGTGGTCGGGTATAAACTTGGAGTCTCGCTGATGCACGCCGGTCTCGACTAAGATACTGATGCAGGCCTTCGCACTGGGAGACTTCATGTTCTTCCCCAGCAGTTTCTCGAGGCTGCGGGACCTAGTGCCTTCTCCGGACTCGTAGCGGGATAAGTACTTGTCGTACAAGTTCGCGCCGAACACGTCCGTGTTGATGTTGTCGCTGCAAAAAGGAGGACATTTTAATTAGAAGAGAAATTGCGGGGAGAGATTCTGATTAGAGAAAATTTAATTCAGGAAAATTTGATCGAAGAACATTCAATTGTAAAGGGAATTTAATTAAAATAAATGTTAATTTAAGGGAAAAATCAGACGATTTTTCCTCAAGTCCTCCCGGATTAAGGATATTGTGATGTCGACGTGTTAGGTACAAAAATATATCTTGAATATGTCTTTTGTTAATACACAGGACGAAGCAATAATTATTATTACTTTGAATATCTTCGAAACTACGAGTGTAAGAGGAAAATGTATCTGACAGAAATTACATGGCATAGAAGCGGTCGTCTTATAATAGTAATGCTTTTTTCTAGATGCAGTAGCTTAAAAAATCTGAAGGTCACTTTTGTTTTTATTTTTAATAGAATCATAGTTTTATTTTTACTTTAACAAATCGACTCTAGCATTCATTCTTGCGTATGAAACTTATTCTCATAATTCCGAAAGTATTCAAGGCGGCAATGGTGATTGCCTCACCCTGTGTATCACTCGACTACGCACCCGATCGCGTAGATCGTATCGACGTTCTCGATGCCGATGCTCCGGGCGTGATTGACGAGCATGCGGTTCGCGTGGTAATATGTAATCTCACTAGGTTTGCCGACTAGAGCGGAATACGTGATGTCCTTGCCGGTGACCTTGCGGTACAGGCTCTCGAGACACAAGAGGAAGGCGCCGTGGCCGTATCTGGGGATCGGCGCCTCGGACACCCACAGCAGATCCATGTTGCACGCCAACACTGGAATGTGCGGGTAAGGAATAGCTGCGGACAGACCCGTCGGCATTCCGTTCGTGACTAAGAGGTCCACCATCAGCTGCAACGGCGTTTCCCAGTTGACCGGCTCGCTCAGCAGCACGATACCCTCGATCCTCGGGAAGTTCGGGTCGACCGGTCCGCATATCGGATTCCGCTTCTTCACGTTCACGTAGTCCAAGCACGGAAAGTTCCTCGCCAATTCATCCACCGTGACGGTCTTGTTGAAGCCCAGCTCCCGGGCGATCTCCGTGATCGGGCCTTGGCCGGAGATCAGCACCTGCTTGTCGTGCAGGTAGTCGAACATCTGCAACGGCGTGTGCGCAAGCACGACCTGCGACTCGGCGACCTCGAAGCCGATCCATTCCGACAGGTTGGCCGCTTTCTGACTGCACAGCGAGTTGCCGCTGTTGGTGACGAACAAAGTGGGCACGCGGAACTTGCCGTTGTCCCCTTGAAGCCGCTTGAAGGACTCTCTCACCGGCTGTAACACCTTCTTACCGCGCACTATCACCCCGTCGATGTCGAAGAGCAGCCCGAATCTCGGCTTTGTGCTTAAGTGCTGCGAAAGATATGCTACTTTAGTTTATTATTTCATTCGAACACTTCCGATAAAGGCTTGAAATTAATGACAAACAGAGAAAGAGAGAGAGGCTTGTAATTTCATATTTATGACAATGGAGCATGTATACTCATAATGTCAATCGACAGCTAAAGATCTTTGCCTTTTTAAATAGGACATGTATTTCGCAAGTATCTGAAAGCATATCTCAAATTTTATTATATCGATCAAAAGTCCACAGTGTTGCACCATCACGGATACACGTATATATCGCGTGCATAAAATGTGCAAACTAAAAATAATGCGTCTTACGACAAAGCGAGTTATGAAATCCTCGGGCGGATTATGTAAAATACACACAACAATAACACACAGTGGCAGCGTATACCGACACGATATAGCGCACGTTCTCGGTATGGTAGGCGTGGACGATAACAAAAGAAGCGAAAATGAACGGTCATGAACGAAGGAAGAAGCATGCAATGACGAGATCGGGATCGTTGCGAAATTACTAAGGGTAAGTTAAAAGGGTGAGACGTGCGGCGGGGAACTCACTCTGATTCCGGTGAACTTCGCGACGTCCAGTCGCAGTAAGATCTTTGCGATCGCCATTTGTTTTTTTTTTAAATTTTGTTCTTTATTTTTTCAGTCAGGCGAGCGACCAGGCGACGACGTGCGCGTGATGCAACCTCAAAACGCTCGCGTGCCGCCCGTCTTGGCCCGATTATGCATAATGCCGCGAGTCGAGGTTATGTGCGAGCCGCGCGGCATACATTCACCTTACTATTCTCACGTGCCGTAAGAGGCCACGACGGCACGACCGCAACATTTCAACTCAACAGGGGCTGTGAAAACAGTTTATTTATAACTTGCAGCTGAAATATAAATAATCCTGAATATTAACGAAGAGATGTAAAAAGTGTAACGAATGAAGGGGTAAATGGATGTGTATCGAAATGGAAAAAGAACGATCCCTTCCCGCGGAGCACGAAAATCAGGCGAAACTCAACAGGCCGGAACTTCCGTAAAAATAATTACAACGAGGTGGTCCAAGAAGCATTTTATAGCTTGGAGTTTTTGTAAATATGTTTGTAAATATGAAATTTATTTATTTTTTATGCTACGAGAGTATAAATCGAGACCTGTTAAATGTCGACATTTTTGATGAAGTTTGTCGAATTATACTGCACGAACAGAAAATGTGTATACAAATGACGTTTACACTTAATTGAAAGTGCAAATCTTCTCCTTTGATTTGCGCGCCAACGTATTGTAATGTAATGTTTCTTTTTTGAGTTATTTCAGGTTGAAACAAAACGCGTCCTTTCGGCTTTGATCGCTTGCAGAAGAGGAACGAATGGATGTATAAAGTTCGTTAACAAATGAATAGAAAGCCAAAAGTCTCCTTTCGAAAAAGCATGTATTAAATTTTTGATATAAATATTTTCCCTAAGTAAAACACTAACTCGAAGATGAGGTTGAAAATTGCACGGTCATTTCTCATTTAACTCAATATATTTTAGCAGAAAATGCCAGCAAAATTATGACATTAATATGCTGAAAAACTAGAGATTTCAATCTAAAAAATGCCTTCGGAATCATCGTGATAGAGTCATTTTTATCGAAGTTACAGCCGGTTCAATTTTGCCTATTATTCAGAATAGAATAAAGGACGACCGCATCGTCATTGAGTTATACTACTTCGAATTTGAAATTTTCTGATTCATTATTGAGTTGTATCACACGCATTTTTCTTCATATTGAAAAGTGGCGGCACGTAGCGGAGACTTTGGATCTAATTTACAAAAATAACGGGTCTAAACCAGGGGTGTTCAGCTTTTAGACCCGTTATTTTTGGAAATTAGTTCCAAAGTCTCCGCTACAAGCCGCCACTTTCCATACCGAAGATTCGAAATCGTAGTACAACTCAACGATGAATCAGACATCCTTCTATTCTGAATGATAGGTAAAATTTAGCAGGCCGTAAATTCGGCAAAAATAACAATATCGAAATCATTCGGGAAGCATTTTGCAGCATGTAATCTCTAGTTTTTAATCATATCAGTATCATGATTTTGCCGCCATTTACTTACATGAAATAATTTAACAAATGCCTTTCGAAAAGGAGACTTTCAGCTTCCTACTCATTTGTTAACGAACTTTGTACATCGATTCGTTCTTCTTCTACAAGCGAGCAAAGCCGAAAAGACGCTTTTTGTTTTAATCTGAAATAACTCGGTGAAAAAAAATCGTATCGCAATGTACTCGCATGCAAATTAAAGGAGAAAACTTTCGCTTTCGAATAGTGTAAACAGCTATTATGTACAATTTTTTCTTCAAGTGGCACAACTCGACAAACTTCATAAAAAACTTTTAACTGATCTCGACTTATGCTTGTGTAGCACTGTAAAAAATAAATAAATAAATAAATAAAAATAAATAAAAAATAAATACATTTTATATTCATAAAAATTTCTGTAAACTAAAGACTTTAAGCTGTAAAATACTTCCTGGACCATCTTGTCGTCATTATTTTTACGGAAGTTGCAGCCAATCGAATTTAGTGTATTTTAATCCAAACATATAATGGCAGTGTAGCCAAAATAACGAAACTGATAGTTGACACAACGTCGCATGTTAGGTTAGCCTCGAAGTTGTTAGCTCGCCGCCCTGAAAGTTTTTTTCTAGCTGAAATGTTTATCAAGCCATTCAAAGTCAAGTCTAATAATCAACTGAAAGGAACCGAGAGGTTTGTGCATTTTTCCACGCAGCTCGGCGATTTCCAATGCGGTGCATCTCATAGATTAGTCTGAAAGGTTATGAAAGGTTATATCTACCTGTCAAACAGATGTCTTTTTTTTCGTGATATCACACACGTCATTGCCGACTCGAAATATAAATAATAAATCGTCGGAAAATAAAGACGGATTCTGAGAAGTTTAATTACGACAAATGTACTTCTTCTCTAAATATATTTTTTATGCTTGTTATATATAAATAGTACAGATTACAATATACATAAAGATAATAAAAACTCGCGAATTATGTCACATTTAACACGGCTCATTGCATCTCATCTTACAGGAAGAAATTATGCGAGGAAGTGCTCGCGGCTTACCCGAGTTTGTCGGACGACGAGATCCAATCGCTGTTACCTAAGAAAGAATCCATCAGTGTCATGAAGATAGTAACACACGGCGGACACATGGCCAAATTATACTGCGTGGCTAAGATACCTATGTTCTTCCAATTGGATTCCCAGAACACTATATTGTTCCCAACAATTTACACACTGTGGCATCATCCGTGTTTACTGAAGATCTTCACTACACGCCTACCGGTCGTATCCAGGCTAGCGGGTGGGGCTGATCTGATGTTGCCTGGATTAGTCCTGAAAGAGCCATTGACCTTTTACACTTTCGGCAAACTGTCCAAGGGCACCCCTGTATCGGTCAACACAGAAGAGAATAAGGTTTTTCTCTTTTTTCCTTTTACTGTGGGTTATTATAGATTTTTTTTTTCTTCATAGATCATCAACTCATGGCAATCACAAAGAAGGGCTTCTTTTACAGGCTTCGGTCGCTGTCGGCGTCACCGCGCTTTCCAGCGACGACATGTACATGGCTGCCGGTCGCGGCAAGTGTGTGGAGGTTTACCATGTGATGGGCGATACTCTTTGCCAATTGGGCAAGCCGCCTCTGAGACCGGATCTAGGACCACCGTATGCTGAGGATTCTGTCGACACCTCGGAAAGTACCGAGTCGAACGACGATCAGCAGACTGACGTAGATCAGGCTGAAGTAGCTGAAGTAGTTGAAATATTGCCAAATAACTTGAATCAACTGGAGATCGACGAGAATGCGAGGGAAGTAGTCGTGGATGAGTCTGGTACTTCGGAGACGGAGGTACGGGTGACTTTATTCGCGTGTGATTCTAACAGATCGCACATATTGCTACGTATTTCCGTCTGACCTAGGAGGGCACGGAGGACGTGGAGGATGAGAAGACGGAAGAAGAGGCGCAAAGCCCGGACGAGCCGGAGGTAGCGCTCGACCCGGTTCAGGAGATGGACGGCTTGCTGGAGTATTGTTTCCTGAAGGCGTGCAAAACGTCGATAAAGTCGAGCGAGCTGCCGATGTTGTCATCCAGCTTCTTCAAGAATCACCTGCTGGCCGCCTGTCCGCCGGGTAAGAACGTCGACGTGAAGAAGTCCCGGTATAAAAAGCTGTCGGTCTTCTTGGCGGAGATGAAGGCGAAGGGAATCATCAATACATCTGTGACGAAAGGCGTGGAGACTTTGCTGTCGATCAAGGTAAGTGTACAACGCGCTGTCGCGGACAGATCGGAGATCTCTCGTTCCCCATGCTCGTTTCAGTTCGACCATCCGCTCGTGAGGCAGCTGGTCGTCACGGAAGAACGAGCCGCGGCTGAGCCGGTGATCTCCAACAGCGCCGTCGTCTCGGAATGCTACCGTGTGACCGCCGACGTCCTGCCGGTCCTGTCGAAATTCGGATACGAGTGAGTACGAGCAGCGACGACGACCGCAAGGAAGGACGATTATTCCTCTTCTGTGCGGAGGCAGTCGATTATATACGGTGATGTGATTGCAGAAAGGGCGACGTGATGAAGAGGGCCGAGATCAGGAAGTGCTTCACCGAGTACGTGAAGGCGGAGGACCTGCAGAATGGAAAGTAAGGCCGCGGGAAGGCTCGATGTAGCGCGATTAGTCCGTTAATATCTCATTACCGACCGACACGATTCTTGCAATGTTGCAGAACGTTGAAGCTGAACCCCCAGCTGGCTGGGATTATGCGCACCAAGGTGCACCAGGAGACGGTGACGATGGAGGACGGGATCAACAAGTTCATCGGCCGTATGACGCACATGCACGAGGTCACGCTTGCGGGCAACACCTTGCTGCACACGGGGAAGCTCGAGCCGATCGACATGAGGGTGGTGGTGCGATCGGGCGGCAAGAAGGTGAGGACCGATGACGTCTGAGTCGTCGTATTGATAGTCGTTACTCGGAACTTGTTTCTGGCGCGATAGGACCTTGGTAGAGACCTGTCTTGTTTTTGTTCATGAAATATTGTCTTAAAATGACAAATCAGCCATTCTGCCATGGTTCGCAGTCAGATTCGAGTTTCACGTGGATTTTTGCCGGTTGCTATTGCAATTATGTCTCGTGAGTAACGACTATTAATACGGGTCTGAGACAATGAGAAGTCGTTTGGGTATCTTGAGCGGCATCTCGGTGTGAACCGTAGGTGACTCTGGTCAACAACCTGGAGACGTTCGGGATCAACTCGAAGGAGTTCAGCAAGGAATGCCAAAGCATCGGCGCGAGCGCGACCATCACCGACGACCCCGGCAAGAAGACCCCCAGCGTTCTCGTGCAGGGCAATCAGATTTTATACGTGCACAAACTGCTCACAGGTGAGCCGACCTGAGGATTCGGTTTTAATTCTGCGACAATATGGCGGTGGTGCGTGCGTTGGTTTGATTTTCTGTGTGTTTGATTGTCGCCCGCAGAGAAATACCAAATCAAAAAGAATTACATCAGAGGCTTGGAGTTCGCCCCGAAGAAGCAGAACTTCTCGCATAAGAAGTAGACGGCGAGGAAGCCCTCAGTCCCGTGAGGAAGTGGAATTTTCTTCTCGAGGAGAGAGTGTCGTCGCACACGAGAGGCGGCGATCAACACGCGCCTCCTCCATTCTTCTCCCGTAGTATCTACTCCGCGAAGCTGCGATTATCCTAGCCGAACGTCAACGATAAATCGTTGCCGTCATTCGTTCCTTTCAGTCGTTGCATCGGACTTTTCCCACGGAAGAATTCATTTCTACGTCGGTATCCTGCCGTATATCACGTGTTGCGAGGACGGATTTTATCAAGACTTTCCTGAAGGGACGCTGCCATTATGCCGATGTATCGTCGCGAAATAGAAGACGTGTTTTCTAATTTCTAATGTATGTTGAAGCGAAACGAAGGGCACGACGTCTTCTACCTTCTAGGGCTGCGTTCGAGAACTTCACTCAACATGTAGAATCGCATTTAATTAACCAACTACGATAAAGAAATCCCTTTTGTTCTTGATTAGTCAGTTAAATGCTATCCGTCGAGTAACATTTCTCAGCGCAGTCCGGGAGGTAGGCAAATGTTACGAATAATTATGAAATAAAAAAACAAATTCACGAGCAATCACGGATTATTAACCGAATTCATTGTCCAATTATCCCCATGTTACCTCTTTCGATCTTGCGATGCGACCACGAAAAGGCTGAAACACTTCTATCCTGATTGGTTTCGCAACGCATCTCGTGTCCAGTGAGAGGATTTGTTTTTCAGTCATTTTCCAGCAGATACGTTTTCCTGTTGCACACGAGATACGTTGCGAGATTCATCGGGAAGAAATCGTTGCAACCATTTTGTTACTGAGACGATACTGTGAGAAATCTGGAAGAAGAGAATGATCGATACGCAAGAAACGGGTTGCGGCAGTTCGTGTCATACACGAGGAACGACAGGCGATCGAAGTTTGTTAATATAATTTATTGTATATCGAGGTTTCAACATGGAAAAGTACAAATATTGCAATATAGAGCTCACGAGCTCTTCTCGGGTGGGAGGGAGGGAGGGAGGAAGAAAGGAAGGCGGGAGGGGCAAGGGGGTTAGGGGTTCGATAGCACTGGAGGGAGAGGCGACGCACGTAAAAGGGACGTATTTTTGCATTTTTTTTTTCACTTTTGCGGGTTACGGGGATGCTGCGTTCGAAAAAACCGAGAGCGAAACGCGCGTATACGTGTATATGCATATGTATATAATATATATATAATCATATTTTTCACATATAATATTTATATATCTTTATATCGCATTTTTTTTCTTCTGCCTTAGACTTTCTCTCTCTCTCTTTCTCTCTCTCTCTCTCTCTCTCACTCTCACTCTCTCCCGTTTTCTCATTCTCTCACACTCTTTCACTCTCACACATTCTCTCCCTCTCTCCCGCTCTCTCTCTCTCCTTCTCTCTCTCTCTCTCTCTCTCTTTTTCTTCCTTTTCGTTTTGTTTTCTTCGAAACGACAGGATACCGACGAACGCCACGGGAAGCGCGAAGACATCCGTCGGTGTTGCCTCTCCTTCTCTCTCTCTCTCTCTCTCACTCTCTCTCTCTCTCTCTCTCTTTTTTATTTTGTTGCTCGGATAAAAGGAATGTTCCCTCCTCTCCACGGCCCCCCGTATATATTTAATATTCGTTTTGTTCCTCGTGTTATCTCGTGTTTTTTTTTGTTCTATTACACCTGCGTTACGCACGTGTGCGTCACGGAGCATCGCGTTGCGACGCGACGTAACGCATTCGTGTCTCATAACATTAATTATTCTCTCTCTCTCTCTCTCTTTCTCCCTTTTCCCCCTTTCCAGATCTCTCACTCACTCGCATCATCATTATTATCGTCGCCAGCGTTATCACTTCATTCGTCTCGCACCTTATCCTATTATAACGCACCTCGACACCCCGTGGTCATAGGCGACCGACCCGATCGAGACACAGCGATCTCCTCCGCGCGAGTCGTCGATCACGGAGAGCCGACGACACGGAAAAATTCGTCTAAATTCGTCGATTATAAGCCTGAAACGCGTTTTATTCGTGGGCCAGCCTTACATCAGTCAGTCTTTGCAGTCTTTACGTTTACATCGCGACACCGAGCGCTCCCGATGCTCGTTCTATCTTCGCGCGATTCTCGTTGTTAACGGGATACCGGGGATACCGAAACCCGCGAGGTCGCGGGTCAGATCGCTGCGAATCGATCGCCGGGTCGAGACGATTTCTCCATCATTTACGCCTGCGGAGGTAATCTTCGCATTCTCCCTGTCCCTCTTCCTCACGCCCCTATTTTACAACGCTTCTTTGCTTCTTTCCTATCACATCCTCTCGCGAACACATTGTACTTGCCGTTGTTGCCATCGCGAATCATCGTCGTCATCATCATCGCTCGAATCATCTCACTCAAATTATCGTTACCGTAATCACTCATCCTTCTCTCTTTTGTGTCTTTATCGCTCACTCTTGCACACATTCTCTCTCTCTCTCTCTCATTCTCTCTCTCTCGTTCTCTCGTTCGCTCGGTGTTCTTTTACCATTGGAATTTTCATAGTTTTTTTTTTCTTTTTTTCCTTTTATGCAACACATAATGCGACTAGGTAGTACAGGTTAATTAATAATTAATATCATTAGTTATACAATAATAACGTATGACTAGACAATGCAAGATAATAATTATATCGTAAATAGTAATAATCATATTGTGGGTCGCAATTTATATCAACAATGTGATGGCGCGCGCGCACGTGTGTGTGTGTTTCGAGGAATGTAATAAATGTCATCTAATTATCGTTTCTCGCGTGTCTACCGTTTTGTGTGAGCACAGTGTGTGCGTGTCCCGTGTGCGTGGCTATTTCCGCGTTTGGCGACATATGCGTATCGATGTGTACGCGATTTTTGTTGTATGTATGTGTTATAACACGGCAACCGAACGAAATCGAAGGACGAATCGGATTGAAGTCAACGAGGTTTCCACGAAGTCGAACAGGTGGAGGAACGCGAGTTCTTAATTAACACGTTGAGTGCGACGTCAGTCCCTCGGGACTGACAGTGAACTTTCCGTTCAAGCGACGTCGGTCCCTGGGGACTGACAGTACACTTTTCGTTCAGGCGGCGTCACTCCCTGGGGACTGACAGTGGACTTTTCGTTTGGGCGACATTGGTGCGTGAAACCGGCATTGTCAAGGGCTAAAAAATTAATGTTATAATTTTAATGGAGTTTAAAACATTTTAAGCAAAGATATGGATGAGATTTGCACATATTACAATAAGATTGATCGTCTCTTGGAGGTCATCACCTTCTTGCCGTTCCCCTTCTCATTATCTTCTGTTTATAATTTGTATACTTATGCATTGGCTGCACCATCCTACAGTAAAGTGAAACAAAGTAATCTTCTGTTCATACTCTTTATCCCAAAAACCTCTTGAGCGTTCGGCATCAAGTGCTCGCTCGCTGCCGCCTGAGCGGAAAGGATAGCAAAATCGGCGCTGCGCTCAACGTGTTTATAGCAAAATCCGATTCATCGCGCGATCCGATTCGGTCACCTCGTCTCGCCGTGTGAAGGCCTCTTCCTCTCCGTCTCGTCGCTACGATGTAACAACCTTGAGACGGTTGTTGTTCTTGTTGTTGTACGTGTACCTGTGTGCATCTGGAGGAAGCTTTCTGCGTTCAGTTAATTAACGTCGGTATCCCGAGTAACACCCCAGTCGACATCGAAAATTACTTATATAACATCCCGATAAAAAATTTTTCAAATATACTATAATTATACATAGAACATGTCCATATATAACAATACATGATTATATACGTGATTACATATAATTATATATTAAAATATACATGTTTATATATAATCATACATAACACATTATATAGGGTGTCTCAGATGTTCCGGGACGGTTGAATATCTCGGAAAGGAGGCATTCAGCCGTCCCGGAACATCTGGGATACCCAGTATATATTTATATATGGGCAAGTTTCATATATGACGCCTTAAACATAACTATATGTATAATTATATATCATTCTATATAATTATACATCTAATTATATATTACATATGAAAAACTTTTCAACAGGATCTATGTTATAATTTCGCACTTAACAATGTAAAAGTAATATAATAGTGACATATCGCGTTTACATTGCTGAGTGCGAGATTGTAACATAGATGTAATATAATTGATGCTCGATGTCGGCCGGGACCCCATTGAAAAAGTACGCGCGATGTAACAAATACAAGCGCGTCGCGTCCGTTCTCGTCGGTGGATGCTTTTTCGCGCCGGTTTTCCGCGCTTTTTCTTTCTCTTTCTTCCTCCTCCTTTCTTCACATGATCAACGCCGACTGTGTTGCGCAAAAACGCGCGCGAATGTGAGTCCGGTCCTGCGCGATCCTATTTATGTATTACGTATGTCTACGGAAATAATGAGAAATCATCATATCATCGTATCGGTGATGATCCAATGAACGGTCCCATTTGTCACTGAGCGACAGCCGCACGCGACGCCGCCCTTAATTAATCGCGTGGTTCATCGCGCGTCCTTAAACGAGGATAACGTTCGTCAGGCGAGTGGCAGCAACGGTGACAAAACTGTCGCTGTCGAGGGCGCGCGAACAATTCGTCGCGCGCGCTAATTAATATAATATGCACAATGATCTAATAATGACTACGTTTACACGGTAACGTTAATCCGGTTTAGTAAAAACCGTAATTAGTAAACTCTTACATTCGATTGATATGTCCTTTTAGAATAATCTATTCTAATAAATCTACTCCAATTAAATACAAGAACTCACAAACTACGGTTGATATTAAACCGGATTAACATTGCCGTGTGAACAAAATCAGTGATATCCTCATAAGAGAGTCACTCATAATGTCATTCTACGTTCACTAATAATATACGTAATGGCATGACGAGATAATAATAGCAATAATAAGAACGATAATAACACCAATATACGTGTACGTGTATACTTCTGTCGAAGGTATAATACGATAATATCTCCTTTTTTTTCTATCGCTTCTATCGCCTCTCTCTCTCTCTCTCTCTCCCTCTCTCTCACTCTCTCTCTAGCTCGCTCGCTCTCACTCTCGCTTTCTCACTCCTTTTTTTCAGACATTCTTTTTTCTTTTTCTCACTCTCTATACTTTCTATACGTGATCAGAAAGCAGTTTTATCATAGTTGCACAGGTGAACCAAGATTCCCGAAGTTGTGATGAGCGAAACTTTGAAGACTTTCGGTCATCAGATATTTGAAAATCTACTTTTCAACAGGCCAAATATCTTAGAGAGATTCGTTCTCGTCGTTTAACGCATTTCGTGATGTCAACGCCCGTCAACGAACTTTCTGTCTCTTATTCTCTCTCTCTCTCTCTCTCTCTTTCTCTCTCTCTCTTTCTTTCTCTCTCTTTCTCTTTCTTTTTGTCTCTCATTCTCTCTCACATTCTCTCTGAGAATCGTTATAAGGCGATGACACCTAACAGGGCTTAATTAGAGATGCTGTTTCGAAACCCTAGCGATAAAAGAAAAAAAGGGAAACAAAAATCGATCAAAAGAATCTCCTTAGGAAAAAACGAGATTCTTTCACAATATCCCATTCCCCTCTTGTCT